TATTACCTTGTGTGATACGGGCTCTGCACATATCGTAGTCTACTATATCCTGTAAGATGGATATACTACGTTGCCTGCACTACAGGGGTTAAATATGGCCAGTGTGGTGATATTGTGGTACTTTGGTTTAGGATTTGTGATATGTGATCTGTCTAGAAGAGTGAATGCTGAGTATATAAACTACGTCGCGGTGAGCGCGCATTACTTCTGCTTTAGTGTTACAGCCCTGCTGATTTATATGGAGTTCCTTACTGATCTTCTTCTGAAGAGTTTCTTTCTACCGACAACCTCCTGCAATAATAACTCTTCACCTTTCTCCTACCTACTACCTCATTAACTCCTTACAACGACGACGACTTCTTCAACTTCTTCAGACAATAAACTCCAAACACATTCATCTCGATACTTATCATACCTATTAATACCAAGATCTAAACCTTTCCTCACTTCAATTGTAAGTGCCAACTTCACTTTCCACCTACAACAACGGCATCCCAATCATTTATCGCCCAAACACTAATGCTAACACTCTTCAGCAAAGTAATCATGTCCGGCTACGGAGATGACAATCAATCTGGTGGCTACGGCGATGATCAGCAGAGTTGTATGACCTATCAATTCTTCTAAGCACCTCGCTTTATCTTCTAACTTGTCGCAGGTTACGGAAGCCAAAATACTGTTACTCAATCTGGTGGTACGTCTTCTTCATTACTTCTTGCCTCAATATAAATCTTGCTCTTATGTCTTGAAGGTTATAAGGTTAACTTGCAAGATGCAGATTATGGCAGCACCAGCAGAGATAACACAAGCAGTGGTTTTGGTGATGATGACACTTCTGCTACTGATACGTATGGTAGCACAAGAAAGGATAATACAAGTACCGGTTTCAATGGTGATGACACTTCTTCTGGTGATGCATATGGCAGCAGGGGAGCAGACAATACAAGCAGCGGATTCGGTGATGATAATACCTCATCTAGCGATGCGTATGGCAGTGCTAGAAAAGATAATACAAGCAGTGGTTATGGTGATGATGACACCACATCTGGCGATGTATACGGCAGTACCAGAGAAGGTGACACGAGCAGCAGCTTCAACAATGACAATACATCCTCAGGTGATGCATTTAGCTCTAGCATTGGTGCCGGAGGCGACTCGTACAGTAATGACAAGATCGGTGGATTTGATGGGGTTAAGGCCAGCTCCACTGGATATGGTAATGATGTTACTGGTGACCGCAATATCCTGGGTGGATATGGAGGAGTAGAGAGTGATTCTCAGTGTTTGGGTGGAAATGATGATGATGACAATACATCTAGTGGTTATGGAGGCAATAAGTCTGGCTTAGGAGGAAGAAATGATGACGATGACACTTCTGGTGGTTATGGAAAGAAGGATTCGAGCTATGGTTGTGACGATACTACATCTAGTGGATATGTAAAGAAGGATTCAAGCTCAGGTGGCTATGGTGGTGATGATAACCACACCTCCAGTGGTTATAGAACAACAAAGTCTAGCTCTGGAGATTATGGCAAAAATGATGAGGCAACCTCGAGTGGATATGGTAGAGATAAACCCAGCTTTACTGGATTCGGAGACGATGACCAAGGTGGACAATTCTCAGGATTGCAAAAGGGTCTGGAAAAGGCCAAGCAATTGTTCTACAAGGATTGAACTATGAACAATGCATTGAAGGTGCGACCGTCATTTGATAGGAGAATCTTTTTCGACTTTCTAGGGTTTGGGCTGGCAATTAGTTGACTCATTATTGATTTGGAAAGCGATGATTTTTGAATGATCTCAATAATCTGGAACTATTACACAGGACACTGAGATATTGGGATACTGGGATGCGGAGATATTTGAGATGCGATGATTTTTGTTTTGAAGCTTTGCAGATTGCCTGGAACTATTGAATCGAATATTGAAACGCGGGGATCTTTGGGATACGATGAATTTCAGGAAATGATATTTTCTAAGGATCAATACTTACTCAATGAATTGTATCCTGACCAAATCCTTTCCAACTTTGATCGTGACGTGACCTGGCTATCCGATTTGAGAAGCTATTTTGTTGCTTCTATACCCCTCGAATCTTCGAATCATGGCTTTCGAGGGAACTGCCTTGGCTACCTCGGAGCGTCTTACAATTGGAACCATACTAATAATTAACGAAAAGTACTTCCTGTAAGTACTTTTTGCTCTCTTAGGGTAAGTTCCTACAGGACAACAACTATCACATGTACAGTTCTCACCCTATTTCAAAATATGTAACCTTAAGCATCCGTTCTGAGAAGATATCATGACGAAAATCTCCCATATGCATTCGAATTTCGGTTCCAGGAACATTTGCTTTCGATAATCAGATTATTCGAATTTCATACATGAAACCCTGTTGGCCGTGGTTCTAATTCCCATGGCATCCAGGACCAAAATCAGCATGCTAGGCATCGAATACTTAAACTTTCCATGACCAGTAAACATCTCAAGATATCTAGACGGGCAGTGTCTTTGTGTTGACCTCCTGGGATCTTGGCAGCATATGCATATATATTGCATGATGCATATAAGGAGCAAACAAAACTCAACTTTTAATTCATTCTTTCCTTTTTGGTATACTGTTTGTTTGCTTTCAATATTTTGATTTCAAAGCACTTTAATTCCGAAGGCCGAATACCTAACCCTATTCCTTCATTTTTTGAATATATACTCGCAGCTTAACTGCTTAGCTAGAGAATCAATCAATTCAATCTGATGCTCTTTCTGGTCTCAAGAAACCAAATAGATTATTGGCCTAAAGCGTCCTCGGATATGGTGATGGACAACAAATATAAATAGACAGCGAAAGTATTCTGATTCGACTTTGAAGTCGTTCAGCTATCTTACGAGGTTTGCTACGAAGATTCTTATCCAAGAAGACGCCTGGTCAATATCTGTAAGAAGCAATATGAAAGTCTTCTGCATTAACATTGACTGAAAGTCAATTCGAGGAATCACTTCACTTCGATCTTCTCTGCGAATAGAATGAAAGAACCAGTAACCATCCTGCCTACCGAGCATAGCAATTATTTCCTCCTGTGGGATTGCAAACAGGTCAGGGATGCTGTTAGAGCCGAAGATCTCTTTCGCCTTTACACCCAATACACCTGCCAGCCCACGGATCGAGGTCATCTTGCAGGTAGAGAGAAAGAATGGCATAGTACAGACTCAGATCACCATCTACTGGTCTGACTTTTTAAATCCGGCCCCAAACTTGACCAATACAATGTTCAATATGATTTCATCCCAATCAATACGATAGATATCGTCGATACTCGTTGGAAGATCAACCAAATTGTCCGTCTCCCAATAAAGAACGATATCCCATAGTAAAAGAGGAAGTGAGCCATATACATTATCGTCGACGGCAAGTTGAGGGTATCTTGAAATAAGGACTGAATATACATATACAAATAGATCGATAAAAACTTTATTTATATTCGCTTTCTCTATGCATTAAAGTAGCACAAATGGTAGATGTTTCGTTATAATATTGATACTTTTCCGTGATTCGATCCAGTATAGATCAAAGGCAGCCTTATCTTTCTTCATTATAGCTAAATCGGCTATATCAGACCTATATGCCCAAGACATCTCGCCTTCTCTCCAAATGGCAACGTGCTACATGATAATATTGGGACAAAGCCGCCTCACCTCTTTCACAGAAGCATCATAAGAAAAGCCGAAGCTACAAACAATATAATTGAATACGATTATTGCATTTCACTATTGAACTACCAATAGTTATAAGGCATCCAACTTCAACCGTACCATTTCGCACTGTGCATAGAAAGCATCATAATCGACAAATGCGATCACACATAAGGACGACTGTGATGAGTAGTTGCCAAGGCGACGGAGATCTCAGTACATGAATTGGGACCTGGGACCGTCCGTGGAAAGAGATCTCGAAGCTGCCGGAATGAGTGGCAGCGGAATAACGTTGACTGTAATCAAGAAGCCGGAAGCGACAGTTTCACATATTGCGAAAGTGAAACGTACGACAACCAAATGAACTATTGTTTGGTAACTTCACCGGCTGGACGACCTCTCCGCGAATATCATTTAGTTAGAGAGCTTTTAGAGGTACTACACGATACAATCCGAGGCCATAGGTCGCTACTAGAGGATGGAAAGATTCTTCATCGGGATATCTCCGAAAATAAAATCATCATCACCGAGCTCCCTGCTGAAGGTGACCCGAAAGGAAGACTAATTGACTTGGACTTGGCAAAAGAGCTGGACAGTATGCCGAGTGGGGCTCGTTACCGGACTAGCACAATGCAGTTTATGGCGATCGAGATTCTTCAAGGGAATGGTCATACATATCGGCATGATCTCGAGTCATTTTTTTTACGTCTTCGTATGGATGTGTATTCGATATAGCTACGAAGATACAGGCAGGCAAAAACCCAATAAGTTGGTGAGACCGAAGACCAATCTACTGCGAGGTTGGTGTACTAGAACATATACAGAAATTGCGAATACGAAGCAGGGCTATATAGGTAAATATCGATTTGAGAATATTATCGCGGAGTTTGCGCCGAAGTTCGAGAACCTCAAACTGTTGGCTCGCGAGCTCCGATCTGTTCTCTTTCCAATTAGGGATGGGGATATATTCACAGGAACGTTCCACGATAGCGATATAATGTACGATGGGATGATCAAGGCATTCAATAGCGCAATTTGCTCTATTCAGAATGAGGAACAGGTAAATGTATAGACGAAGGTACTGGGTATTAGTATTATGAGGCGTTTTTTGGGGAGGAAGGGGGAATTTGGACCTTTTTCTTTTTGGGCACAAAGGGTCTGGAGAAAACTGTACGATATAATGATACCAGGGATAATCTTATTGTATAATATACCAAGGATTAATACTACTGTACAGATAGGGAGGTAATCCCTCCTTATATATTAGTCAAAGGTATTATTCTATATATATATTGGACTATAGCAACAGAATAGCCGAAGAACTGGCCGATTAAGACTATAGAGAACAGATGGACGGACGATGAGATAGGTTTAAATTGGATTAAATACTTTAAGCAATATATAGTTGAGCATACAAAAGGCCCTTGGCGACTCTTGGTCCTCGACAGACATAGGAGCTATACTACAATCGCTTTTCAAAACTACTATACAGAGCACTGTATTAAAGTACTCTGTTTGCCTCCATATTCTTCTCATTTAGCTCAACCTGTAGATGTAGCCTGTTTTCAACTATTAAAGTAGGTATATAGGCTTCAGAACAGCTTTCCTATTAGCTATTATATCTAAGAATGCAAAAGCAGGATTAGAAGCTACAGGATTAGTTCCTTTTAATCCCCAAGAAGTCATTTCAAAGCTAGATATTCGACTACGAACACCGTCTCCTACTATCGCATCATATTGGGTTTCTTGAGACCAGAAAGAGCATCAGATTGAATTGATTGATTCTCTAGCTAAGCAGTTAAGCTGCGAGTATATATTCAAAAATGAAGGAATAAGGTTAGGTATTCGGCCTTCGGAATTAAAGTGCTTTGAAATCAAAATATTGAAAGCAAACAAACAGTATACCAAAAAGGAAAGAATGAATTAAAAGTTGAGTTTTGTTTGCTCCTTATATGCATCATGCAATATATATGCATATGCTGCCAAGATCCCAGGAGGTCAACACATCATCTCCTCCTTGGAGCTCCCAAACACCCCATAATCCAAAGGAAGCACTAACACAAACAAGCCTTGTTCGAGATCGAATTGAAAACCATCAAAGTAGTTCTCCTACACCTCTTTTCCGGTTGATTGAAGCTCTTGCTAAGGGTACTGAGAGATTAGCTCATAAAGTAGCTCTTTTAAAAACAGACAACTATCGATTACATAAGGCAAATAAGAGTCTAAGTAAACGTCGTAGAGCTCCTAAGATCGAAGTAAAACAGAATAGAACAATTACTATAGAAGAGGCTCTTGGATCACTAGCTGAGAAGGAGGTGGGTGCCCAGAATAAGGATAAACAGCCTGTTGAGGGGGGTGATCCCGAAAGGGAAGGTTCAACTCAACAATACTGTAGTTTATACCAGGAACCTGGGCATAATAAAAGAACTTGCCCAGAGCGTTTAATAGATCCAGCTTTACGTACTTCTATATAGTTTTATTTAATCTTAATCGTTGTTGTGGTTCAATTGAGAAAAAGGGGTGTAATATGGATAAAAAGTGGCTCGTTTGATGATATAGTCCGCTTAGTGATAAACCACGTTAAGCGAATTCTTCTTCTTGAGGTCCTCCACTCCCTTCAGAACATTCTTTCTCTGCCCATCATATTTCATCTCCCTCATCCACTCTTCCAAGCCCCTGATTCTACCCGGCAGCACTCTATCCAACAGCTCCTCATCTCTCGGCACAGACTTCCCCTCGCCCCAAAACCGCCACCAGGCGGAGAAATTTTCCTTCCAAGTCATACTAGCCTCGTCTCTTACTACATTTGGGCCGGCAACAAAGTTTGCAGGTGCATTTGGGTACGGCTCCGCGTGAGTGAGATATTCTTCCAGTGGAATGTATTCATGGATAGCGGGTTTGCCCGTTACGCGAGTGAATGTTTCCGCAATCTCTGCGAAGGAAACGTAGGCGGTTTCGACGCGGAGATCGAGAGCGGATGACTCAGTGGGATGCTCAAAGAGCCAGAGACTGTAGTGACCCATGTCTGAGAGGGCGATCAGGGGAATTTTGCCGGATTCTAGAAAGGAGTAAGTAAAAGCCATGAGTTAGCGTGCAGGCCAATATTTCGACGATAAAATCATCACAGAGAGAATGCGGCAATGGAAGGAGAAGAATCACATACTAGCAGGATTCCTCCAAACCCATACCCCATCTTCCCGCTCTTGCGGTAGAAACATTCCATCCATCAACATATCTGCATACGGCCCCGTCGTAATCAACGAAGTTAACATCCCTTCCTTTCTCTCCTCCTCATCTCTCTTCGCCATCGCCAAGATAAATTCCCCGACTCTCCCTTTTGCATCATTATGGCCCCAATGATACTGCTCATCCCATCCCGCATCCCTTACCGCATAATCCGTGGCAGCGTACACGTAATGCTTTACGCCTTCACTGCGCGCGATTTCGTATGCGCGAATTCCGTAGAACATCTCGTTTTTCTCGCCCAGTGTGAAGCCATCAGTGTTGACCCATGCGCCGTAGACTCCGTGGAAAGCGGCGTGCAGATCCTTTTGAGAATCCTGAGTCCCTTTGATTAGGGACACGTGCGGGAGGGAAGCGAGTTCTTGGGCGCGAGCTGAGGTGGGGTCGCGAGTCAGGACGCGAGCGGAGAAAGATGTGCTTGCGGAGATAGCTAGATATTAGGTTTAGTACTTGGACGATTCCAAGGGATAGGAGATGGATTGGCGATTGTTCACAGCGGGGTTCAATTGCGTACCTTTGACGACGGGAAATCCCTGGGCACCTGTACCGCCGATGACGAGGATTTCTTTGCGACTCATGATGTTATTTCTTGGATATAAGGATATGATACTTCAGAAATGAAGTTTGCTTTGTTTTGCAAGATGATGTTCTCTTTTTCAACTTCGTGCCTTCCCGTTCTTATATACTACACACCTTCCATCTTCACACATTTGCCTCGGTTCAGATTACTGATCTGGACTCGGAGTTCGGACATGCCTCAAATGCCAAAAGGCAATTTTCCATGAAGTCATAGTTCGAAATTCTAAATGGGCAGACAATCCTCTTCATGGTAACGTGGTTTATCATTAAGCGGACCATATCACCAAACGGGCCACTTTTTACCTCCTCTTGACTTAATCACTTCATTAATCAACTACCAATTATAGTAGAACCTAGGGAAGTGGCTTGAATCAAACAGGAAAGCTCCTAAAATCAGATTATAAGAAAATAAGTTAATTATTAGAAAGGATACTCTTCTAGTAGTAGTTGAAGAGAAGGGTATTGCTGAACCCAAAAATAAACGGCTTTTTGAAGTAAGTAGCAACTATCCAACTTACTTATACTATAACTTATAGAAGGAGCCTGAATATAATAAAAAAACTTAACTATAATATTCAATAGAGCTAGCTTTACTTATTCCTATATAGATTTATTAGATTTAAATCGTTGTTGTTATTTGATTGTATGATATAGGTGGAAAGTAGTCCGTTTGGTGATATGGTCCAGTTACTGATAAACCACGTTAAAGCATATCAACAACCTATTCGGACTTTTCAATTGCAGTGATCAGTGATCATATCAATAATTAGTCATCAACCGACCCCACGCGCCGAGGGGATCACTAATCAAACATGCGCCATGCTCCTAGATTGGTACTACAGTGCTGCGCCTTACCAGAAAGGCGAGCTTTGAATGAATTGAGTCTTACGGCTATCGATCTATGGATATATATGGCATAGTACAGTTTAGAACCAATTTTGACTTCGACGAACTCAAAAACTACTTGTGGCTTCTCGTACAAACTCATTTAGGGTGGTCTAGGCTGGTAGGCGAATCGTCAAACCTCTTTTAGTTCGAGGCTAGTAGTCGAAATATTCACGACATTTACCACGTCTACTTATTCCGCTTTCTCTTGTTCGACAATCATATATATCTCGTTGTCTATCGCTAAGTTTACAGCAAGACTTAATTCAAATTTTGGCTTCATCCCTTTTCACTGCATTATATACAGCCCTGAAGCAATTGCCAAACTTCAAGCTAGGCTGCGAAATGGGTACCTATGGGTGGGTTTTCGAGCTGGCCAACCTACCCATTTATCCAAGCAGGGGTGGTACATGCCATAAAGGGGCCCGTGATAGCTAATGGGTAGTAAATTTCCTCCTCAACAGAAAAAGATGTGTGATTGAAGGGTGGATGATATTATTGTGGGATGTTCTATGGACCTCACCCGAAATGGGCTTTTAAGTCCGAAGGCGCTGAGCTACTTTAGTAAGTAAACATAAGCCATGCTCCTACTTCGTCTTCAACCTACCCAATAGGTACCCATTAGTCATCATAACCACCCATGGGTGCCCCAACCCGGCGGGTACCCGACCTACCCGGTGGGTAGGTTCGCAGCTTATTCTAAGCAAAGTATACAGGCAGTTAGTTCTATATCACAAAGTACAATCCCTAGAAAAAGTACACAACGAGATACTTTACTGACGTATTTTGGTAGCATTCGCGTAATCTTTTGTGCAAATATGTCGCTAGAGGGTACAGGGACTTTCCAAACGGGAATTGTTGGTCGAGAGATATTTACAATGCTTATTTGTATTCTTTTCGGTGCGATGTTGAGGTATATATTTCACAAACTAGGGCTTTTGTGTACGGAAACAGAGGCTCGCCAAATGCGCTTAGAACTACTACGCGACCTTTTGGACGTCCCCCCCAGAGGACAGGACCAACAGAATACTGGACTTGTGCTTTTTTGTGGCTGCAGATGGCCTACTGCCCAAGGATCTTGAGGAAAACCATGAAGTTCTCTAGTATCTGAAAGTACGAATTAATCAACAACCTACTATTCCGCGGAAGGGACATACGAAGACGATAAGCTTAAAGATACGGAACAGAGACTTCAATATACGTTTGACACCGCATTTAAAGGAGAAAGATATCTTGAAAATGGGCTTGGTAGTTGTTATTCACCTAGTCGCTTCTAGTACGGTCCAAGTTGAGAATACTACCAGACAACGATTGAATTTCTGCTTTCACTTATATAGCTTATCAATTCGTCAGGGAAATATAACGTGTTCTTAATTCTACGATTTCTATCTTTGATCCTATGCTTCATATCCGTAGAGTAGGAAGAAGTCCATATACTCCTGGCCTGGAATGAATCGTAACTCAAGCTGGTTGGTTTTTTTCCGACTAGAGTACAACGAAGAGCTAGAACACTGCTCTTATTTTTCAAGACTATATAAAGCAACAGTTCCGCAAGAATTGCAATTCTTACGAATAACCTTTTAGTAGAATTATACCTATTTGGCTAGAAAATCTCTAGCTTCTACTTAAAGATTGCCTTAGGGGCTTTGCCCTACTACAAGCTTGTCTTACCAACTCAAGATTATTTCTATAGCCACAGATAACCTTACCGCTGAATCAGACACCTTTATTCCATCATTTTTCAAATAATCCTTTCACCACTTGCTAAAACCAGGCTCCAACCTCGCAAAGCAATACATCGGTCACTTTTTCGAAATTAACTAAAAATTCATTGAAAGATGTAGCTGATGGTTCTTATTGTTACCGTTTTTCTGATCGGCTTACTCTTGGGTATTCTGATTGGCAATAGTGCCTGGGCTGCTCTCCTTGTCGGAAGCAAAATACAGACCTCAATACTCCGTGAGCTTTTAGAAACCTCAGCAGATAAGAGATCCGACCGTATTTTGGACCTATGCTTCTTCCAACTGGCAAAAACAACTTGGTCTGAAGATGTTGACCATTTCCTCACGGATGAGGTGATAAATCATCTTGAGGCAAAAATCCATAATCCGGCGCCAATACCAAATCCCCGCGTGTTCTCTTTTATCCACTACGGCCTTCTAGGAAAATGCAAGCTAGATTATAGCATACCATCCATTGTTCACCCTATGGGTTACGACGAGGAAGTTATTAAAGTTATGCAACGGATACAAGAGCATAGGAAGAAAAGGGCGAATCAGCACATGGAGGTTGCCACATGTGGCGAACGATCGGGCAACACTTCCAACTACGATGATGAGCTCTGGGCACGAAAGGACGCTAAGAAACTTGGAGATGTTGAGAAAGGCTTGGGTTCTCTACCGTCATCCTAAATCTTCAATGACGAGCCAGTATGAAAGTCTTGAGCTGTATCTCTAGGAAGATTTCGTCCGTTGGAACCTATTGCATAAGGAATGATAGGAATAATCACTGTTGCAGAGTTACGCTTTGTTTGAATTTAGGAGATTCACACTGTTTTGTGGTACTAGAATTCTAAAAGGAAATAGTAAAGAATTCAAGAGCTGTAATAGTTGGTAATTTGAACCTTCAAGTTAAATTAACTACGGAAGCTCGAGCCTGAAGCTTGCTGTGACTTGATATGATCCTACAAGAGTCCCCCGTGCCGCCATCGTTAGAGTCCTTATGCCTATGTTTCAAATCGCAGACACATCTACAAATTTTTCCTCTCATTATTCACTCCTCTAAACCGATCGTGCCCATCTTTCTTCCTCCTAGATATTTGTGGAATGACCTCGAAAGGAGACATTTTCGGAGTCTCTATAGTAGGAGGAGATCGTCGTGAGAGGAGGAGGTCTTCATGGACGGAGAAGAATATCTGCATGGTAGAAGAAGAAGGTCAGCGAATGTGAAGAATGCGGTAAACATGTCAACATACATCAGAGATCCGAGTAATGAATTGCATTCGCTTTATGTTGAAAGTCGCCTAGAGGGCACTGTCCTCTAGTTTTTCCCGCCTGTCTGCAGTGTACTACTGTGCTGAAGATAAAGTCTTGAATAGGCGCTATGTAAGCATAGGTTATTTCATATCAAGGAAGATAGTAAAACTGTATCGTATGCTGAAGAAGTCAGGAAAAGACCAGTTCTCCAGAAAAGAATTGTCCCTCAAGAAAGATTATTCTTAAAAGAAAGAGTAGTTCTTGAAGAAAGATTAGTTCTTGAAGAAAGATTAGTCCTCAAGGAAAGACTAATTCTCAGAGAAAGATTAATTCTTGAAATGAGATTAATCTTCCTAGTAGACTAGTATATAAAGAGAGATATGATATAGAGGGAGACTAGTATACAGAAAGAGATATCTATTTTGAAAAGACTGGTACACGGAGAGAGACTAATACGCGAAGGAAGACTAGAATGTGGAGAGAGATTATGATATGGAGAGAGACTAGTACGTAGAGGGAGACTAGTATATAAAGGGAGACTAGGATACGGAGGGAGACTAGTACACGGAAAGAGGGATAATATTTTGAAAAGACTAATATATAGAGAGAGACTAGTATACAGAAGGAGACTAGTATACGGAAGGAGACTAGGATACGGAGGGAGACTAGGATACGGAGGGAGACTAGGATACGGTGGGAGACTAGGATACGGTGGGAGACTAGTATGCAGAAAGAGGATGTATTTTGAAAAGATTAATATACAGAGAGAGAATAGTACACGGAAAGAGATTAGTCCTTAAAGAAAGACTAATTCTTGGAAAAAGACTATTTTTAGAAAAAGATCAATTATCTAAAAGATAATAAAAGAAAAGCTTATTAAAAAGAACTACTCTTAAATAAGATTCATTCTTATATCTAATTAGATTATTCCTATATAGAATAGAGATAAATAAAAGATTGGTTCTAAAGAGTATACTAGCTGAATAAGCTATCTCTTTATCTGCTGAATAAATATAGTAGTACTGGAGACGAGAGTGATATAAGGAAGCAATATAAGAAAGAAAAAACGAAAAAAAAGAAAGTCAACCCTCAGACCGAAGGGCAGGCTTTGGCACTCCACTTAGTAAAGGCCAAAGCTCCCTCGCCTATGCCTAGGGTCTATCTCACAGGGTTAAGGCAATTGGCAGGCGTGAAGCGATTAAACCGCGTAACAGCCGCAGTACAAGTAGCAAAGTGGTCTGGAGTCTTGAGCTTCCCACAGCAGCGCTGAAGTTCAGCATCCTCATGGTGGAAGCATTTATGGTACGCCGCAAAGTCTTCATGTCCAGAGCGTGCGGCGAATAGGCGGCCAAGTAGGGGTCGTGGGAAAGACAGCCCCTTAGGCAGTCGTGTAGAGAGTACGCGCAGGCTCATCGGTTTGCAGGTTGTTTACCTCCTTGAGAAATGACGGGACGTCCAAAGAGACGGAGCCGGGTTGGGAATCGGCCTGCGCGCGTCAGTGGCACGTCAATCCGAAAGTGTCCTTCTACGCTTGCATTATCCATGAAGTGGCGGGTCCAGCACGCGGGGCGTACGGGCAGCTCGTCCGAGACGGCTCGAGGCTCTGTCTGTAGTAGGCCGCCTGTAACTGGATCGACGAGGTTGTCCAGCGTGCGGATTGGTTTGGTTACTGGTCCCACATGATGAACATGGCCTACTTCTCTTGCCGTTCAACTATGGCCGAGCCGATGGCCGTGGCAATGTCCTGGCTGCGCGTCATAATTAAGGCAGCCTGTGCCGGCATATACGCCATAATCACGAATCCGGTGGCAGTAGGCTATATGTCCTTCACGGCTTTGTCTTTCATAATGTAGCATATCTTCTGCCGGAGTACGTAAGGGTCTTCGTCCGGGTGGGGTGCTCTTTGGGGATACGTATTATGCCCTGGCCCACAAAGGCGCTGAAGATCTTTCTTAGGCTCGCGGCCCATTGGGGTGCGGCGCTCTCGATGCCCCTAAGGAAATGGGCCTATACTATTGATCCTCATGTGATATATAGTAGACTTCTTTCGATAGATTTCTACTGGTAGATATCTAGTGCTACAAGCCTTCCGGAAACCGGACTATTGAAGCAAACTTTATACCAGTAGAAATCTTTTCGTGCAAATTATTTACGAAATCTGGGAAATCTGGGGTGATTTAGTTTGATAGAATTATACCAGTAGAAATCTTCTAGTTGAAGTCTTCTAGTCGTACTTTATTATGATATCGAAACACGGAATTCGTATATTGCGTTGTAGCTCGAGGGGAAAGGGTAGAGAAAATGCGAGTGCGGGGTACCGTTTCTCGATCCCGGGGTTTGATTAATGGCGGCTCGGTAGAATTCTATTTTGAGCAAGACCTATCATGTGATATTTGTTGGTAGTGGTAGATTTCTCTTGATCGGTTTCTACCAGTAGAACGTCAAGAAGAGAGGTACAAATTCCCAGGGGGGTTTGAGCACGAGAGTTTTACTACTAGAACTCTTGTACAAGATTAATGCTGGAACGGTTTTCAGTATAGCGATTTTGGTCTTAGATCTTTTCTTATTTAATTCGATTTGCTGTACTTTATGTTCTTAAGGTATATCAAATAAACTTCTTTACTATCGCTTTAATTATATCCTCTTCACTATGATCGACAAACCAAAGCGAAAATCTGAACGATTAAACAGGCGAAAAGTCACCCTACTTAACAAAGCATATGAGATATCGAAATTTTGTGAAGTGGATGTGGCGTTGATTTTACGTATCCGCAAAACTGGCCAGTATATCACTTATACTTCAACTGATCTTGAATCATGGCCACCTACCAAAGAGCAGATCGTAAGTTATCAGTTGCTTCAAAAATCCAACGATATTAACAAAACCATAGCAATTGTCGTATCCGCTTCCAATAAACTTACTTTCAAAGGATATTGAAGCTCAAGTTAAGAAAACATCGACCTGTGGTTCGAATACTGCATAGATCTTGATATCATGATGAAAGGTTTTGTTGGAAGGATATATTTACCATTTATCACATGACTACGAATTCACCACGTGTCAGTCACGTGTCACTAGTCAGAATTGTGTATATGTACGACCGGCTGCGATATCGAGAAAAGATAAGGTTAGATTTGATTGTTTTTCGTTTTATTATAGGTAAAAATCCTATAACCAATCAAAAAGGAAATTTGGAAACCACTGGTTCCTACTGCTCCCCTCGATTTAAATCGGTGGGACGAGTGGGACCACGTGACCTCCTAATTAGTCATGTGATGCGGGGCTTAGTCATAACTGAGTACCGCCGTAACATTAAGATAATATTATCTTCAAAACATAATCTCTTTATAATATAATTAAGATAATATCAAAATTTCAAATTAACATGGTTTATCAGCGAGTCGCCACTTTTTCAATATCTTTTATCATTCAATTTCAAGACGCGATATTTCAACGAATTATTATGGAAATACAATCAAAAGAGGCCAGAATAATCTTAGCTATTGAAGCTATTCAAAAATCAAAAAATCTTACAGTTGAAAAGGCTGCGAAAATCTACAAAGTCCCTCGAACTACATTACGAGATAGAATAAGCGATCGAATTCACAGAATGGAAACTCGAGTAAATAATCTTAATTTGATTGAAAAAGAAGAAGAGGTACTTATTCAGTATATTATCGATATAGATGAAAGAGGATTTGCATCTAAGTTAAATGATATAAAAGATATGGCGAATTATATTCTCGAATCAAGAGGTGCGAAGAGAATTGGAAAGATCTGGGCTCATCGATTTGTAAAGTGTTATACAAAATTAAAGATGTGTTTTAATTGTATTTATGATTTTCAAAGAGCTCTTTATGAAGATCTCAAGCTTATTAAAGAGTGGTTTGGATTGGTATCGAATATATAGGCGAAATATAGTATTCAAGATTGCGATTTCTATAACTTCGACGAAACCGGCTTTATGATAGGTATAATATGCTCTGGAATAATTGTAACTAGTTCTAAATGAAATGGTAGAAGCAATGCAATACAATTAGGCAATCGAGAATGGGCTACGGCAATTATATGTGGTAATAGAGAGGGTGAAACTATACCTCCATTTCTGATAGTTCAAGGACAAGTTCATCTTTCCAATTAGTATACCGAAACCGATTTTCCTATGGATTGGGCTATTAAACCTACTTCTAATGGATGGACGAATAATGAGACAGATTTAGAATAGTTAAAGCACTTCAATAAATATACTAATCAATGAAGAAAGGGCAAATATTGAATATTAATATTGGATAGGTATGAGAGTTATGGATCGATACCTTTCCAATCATATTGCAAGTCAAATGACATTATATGTGTAAAGTTACTATTGTATTCAAGTTATTTAACTCAACTATTTGATATTGGATGTTTTAGTGCACTTAAATGTTTATATAGTTGTCAAATTGATGAGTTTATCAAGATATATATCAGTTATATTTCTAAAATTGAATTCTTTATAATTTTCAAAGCTGCATATCAACAATCGATTACAATTCAGAATATGAAAGCTGATTTTCGAGAAATAGGACTAATATCATTTGATCCTCAAGCTGTGCTTTCGAAATTAGATATTCGAATTCGCACACCTACCCCTCCATCGATCCTTTTGGAATCTATCAACTCTTGGGTCTCTCAAACACCTCATAATCCAATTGAAGCTCTTTTACAATCAACTTTAGTGAAATCTCGAATTGTTCGATATCAATCAAACTCTCCTACACCTATATTCGAAACTGTAGTTGCATTAGCTAAAGGTACAAAACGATTAGCTTATGAGAATACACTCTTAAATGCAGAGATTTGTATGCTTCGGAAAGCAAATGAGGCATTAAGCAAACGTCGATATATTAAAAAAACTCAATTACGTCAAGGAGGAGTACTTACTGGTCAGGAAGCTACAGATATAATATCACAACAAGAGGTGGATATTCAGATTCGATTCGACGAGCGTCAAAATAGGGGAAATTCCAATAGGGAATCATCTACTAATCGATACTGTAATAAATGTGGAAAGACTGGTCATAATTCAAGAACTTGTTCTAATAATATAATAGACCCTAGATTATTAGATTCTTAATAGTTTAAATCAATTGATTCAATAATTGTTGATTAAAATAAGTTTAAAGTGGTTGAATAAGTGAAAAAGTGGCGGCTCGCTGATAAACCACGTTAGTTGATCAATAATTGTTGAATTATTAATATTTAAAAATTAAATATTATTGTAGCTGTACGATTTTTGACGTGGCCGGAATAGGGGGGTGGCTAGGATGTAGGGTAGGGGATTTACGAATCCGAAACTGCAACACACACTTCCGCGTATACACTTCCTGAAAAGGGAATTTGGATACGTTCTTGGCACCATCCGCAAAATCCACAATAAAACAACTCACGGCATTGAGTTTTTTTTTGAAGGGGAGATGCCAAATTTAACAATGACGGTCCGTTTTTGTTTGGATGAAAGTGGGACGGACTCGTTCTAAAGAGGTAGAGTTGAACGTTGTTGGCATGTACGGCCTAATTATATGGTTCTCGATTTTCTTGTCCAATTAGGTCTATTTTGCAGAGTGGTGAATAAACGATTTAGTAGCGTTCCATTTGGGCAGTCTAGTGGCTTGTATTAGTATATATACTTCTCAATTCCTTCCTCTTCTCCGTCTTCTTTCTCATACTATTCATCCATCACCACGCATCATTCAAGATGTTGCCCTCTCACCCATCCCATCTCATTGCCGTCACTCTCTCACTCCTGCCAACCATCATACTCGCCACCAATTTCAATTCCACCCAAACATGCAAAATCACACCTGCAGACGCCTACTGGCCTTCCTCCGCCGATTGGACAGCATTAAACACATCCATCTCCGGAGCCCTCATAAAAACTCTCCCGCCAGCCTCTTCTTGCTACACGGGAAACCCATTTAACTCAACCCAAAACTGTTCTTCCGTCCAAACCAACTGGGTTCTCGCTTCATGGCAAGCCAATACACCAGAAGGAATCGATTATCCCATCTATGCCAATAATTCCTGTCTCCCTACCGAAGCAACTGGGTATCAAGCTGGTAAGGGCTGTGAGGTAGGTGGTTCTCCGGTTTATGTTGTAAATGCCACTACCGAGGATCAAATCGCTACAGCGATGAAATGGGCTACGGAAAGAAATATTCGAATTGTGATCAAAGGAACTGGTCACGATATGAGTGGAAGGTTTGATCCCCCATCCCTTGATTTTGCCAACCCTACAAGGAAGAAAATTAAAAGCAAGCGGAAAAGAAAGAAAATAGCTAACCAAAAACCAAACTCGCAGATCAAGCGGCGCCAACTCCCTCTCAATCTGGACTCAAAATTTCCTCAAACGAGAATTCAATTCTTCTTGGCGCATCCCCGGCTCCAATTCTACAGCCGATGTCCTCATTGCCGGGAGCGGAAACAATTTAGAACTTATTTACAACGCCGCTCATGAGGCTGGGAAATCAATCGTGGGAGGCGATGCCAAAACTGTCGGCCTAGGCGGGTATCTCCAAGGAGGTGGCCACGGTCCCCTCTCAAGCCAATACGGACTCGGCGCTGATCAAATCCACCAAGCTACCGTTATTACACCCTCGGGCGAAATCTTGACCGCGAATGCAGAGCAGAATCCTGATCTTCTCTGGGCCATTCGAGGAGGCGGTCCCGGTACATATGGCGTCGTGACTGAATACGTTTTACAAGCACATCCTGCAGTCGCTAGTATCTCATCTGTAAATCTCGAGGCAATTCCTCTCGGTTCCGAGAACGATACTGCCGCTGCAACAGCAGCTTGGAATGCACTCGCAATCCTCTTTCAAAACCTCCCTGATCTAATGGACGCCGGTCTCGCAGGCGCCATGATTGCCGCTACTGGCTCCGTCGCGAAAGCTTTTTCCGGTTCAGAATCCACACCCCCTGGTGTATACTTCTCACAAGCATTCTACGGATACAACATCAGTATCTCTGAAATGACCACTCTCATCTCCCCTTTAATTGAGAAAATGAAAGATGTATCTAATGGATCACTTTCTATCAATTACACAATCACAGATGTATACCCTAGTTACCTCGACTTTTTCTACGCCAATGATCCCGGCGAAGATCCAGCTGGTCAGATTTCTCTCCTTTCTACTCGTTTATTGGGACGTGCGCATCTTTCTGATCTCCCAATGGAAACACTAGCTGCATATTTGCAACGCGCTTTAGCATCTCAGAGCGGGAGTGGAAGTGAAATGATAGTCGGGTTACAAGGAGGACCTGGTCCGGCTCATGTTCCGGAAAATATGCGTGGTTCGCTGAACCCAGTTTGGAGAGAGGCATATTTACATGTTATTACACTTGGTGCAACACTTGATGATACTTTGACACCTAAGGAAACACTTGCAAATGCAGCAGAATGGATGGAGGAGAATAGAGAAGCGTTATGGAGAGAATGGGCTCCAGATATGGGTGCATATATTAATGAGGCGAATCCTTTTGATACCGAGTGGAAACATGATTTCTTTGGTACAAGCTATGATCGATTGGCGGAAATTAAGAAGAAATATGATCCTACTGGGAGTTTATATATATTGTCGGGTGTAAGAAGTGATGAGTGGGATTATGATCTTGATACAGGGAAATTGTGTCGGGTTTGAGAGGAGTTTGTTTTGTTGGAGGAGAGAAAAATAATGTTCTTTTTACGGTTGACATTTTGCAAATAATATTGCCTAAAGGAAGCCAAGGAATAGGTTCGACTATATTATCTTTAGTACTATTGTTTAAAGAAAGTATATATAAACTAGATAGCTTTGAATGAGTATTCTTTACTTTTCAATGGGTATGAACAATGTATTCTAGTTTTTATTGTCGGCTTGTCGACACCAAAACCTTGTACGTGAGGTTTACCTGGTTGTTACGACGGGCTACACAACTACCAAGACACGTGATCACAAATGATCAGTAGTGATCATTAAGGATCACTAAGGATCACGATATAGGTGATCACTGGTGATCATGAAGGATCACCAGTGATCATAGAAGCATGAAGGACTATATAATCAAGATGGATTTCCTTTGTATAGAGCTTCGTGCTCAAGATCAATCATTTAGTATACTCTACTATTAGTTACGAATTGCATTATTGTCATTACTTTAAGTCCCTGCTTGACGCCTAGTTATAAACCACCTCGAGAGCCTGGAGCACTTCCACGTGATCTAGACGGCAAACCTCGTAACACTGGTGTAGGTCAGAGAAAATGAGAAACTCGCTTAAGTGAAGCTCGATCCTGACAAGCTGATTGGTCTAAAATACCCCGGCAGAAAATTTAACAAAAAGTTTGGCATAAGCCTCGAAACCTCAGGCATATCTGACTTGGAACTTTTTAACTCATTCAACTCAAGTTATAATAATAATAATAAAATATATTTAATAAATTTAATTGGTATTTTTAATATATAAAATTATCTTTATTTGTTCACTTGAATAAAGATTTATTATTTTTATTAAAATAAAAATGATTTTTGAATTTTAATTTTTTAAAAATTTAATTAATCATAATGTTAAAAGGAATAGAAGTTACCGGTACTAATCACGTGTCGTGATTAGTAATACGGTTACCTAAACAGGCTAGATTAGACGAACCATAAGCAGGCATATTGGTCCCCTTAGAGGATACTAAGAGGAGATTAATATGCCTACACACGTAGTAATATAGTCAATATAGAGGCCTCTTCCACCCAATCTTTTAATACATAATTTGTAATTTGATTATCTTTATAATAATTTTATTTATATTTCATATACTTGAAATACAAATACCAATACAAATATAATACTTGAAGATTTATAAATGTTACGAGGTTTGCCGTCTAGATCACGTGGAAGTGCTCTAGGCTCTCGAAGTAGGTTTATAACTAGGCGTCAAGCAGGGACTTGAAGTAATGACAATAATGATATGCAATTCGTAACTAATAGTAGAGTATACTAAATGATTGATCTTGAGCACGAAGCTCTATACAAAAGAAATCCATCTTGATTATATAGTCCTTCGTGCCTATGGTTAACTAGGAATCGTCGTTCCTGGGAACGAGCGTTCCTGGTTGTTCCTAGGAACGTTCGTTCCTCACCGTTCCATCACATGTTTTATGGTCATGTGACATACTAATCGTTTTGGACGTAACAATAAAATATATAAATATATAAACTGTTAAAAGGAATAGAAGTTACCGGTACTAATCACGTGTCGTGATTAGTAATACGGTTACCTAAACAGGCTAGATTAGACGAACCATAAGCAGGCATATTGGTCCCCTCCGAGGATACCAAGAGGAGATTAATATGCCTACAGACGTAGTAATATAGTCAATATAGAGGCCTCTTCCACCCAATCTTTCAATATAAACAAATAATCAAAATCAAAAACCACACTCTGATTTCAAAAATTTCAAAATGACAATTATGATTTTAAATCTGATAAATATTATAATCAAACAAACAAATAAATAATTAAATAAAAATTCTTTCTCTTTTTTTTTATTCTAATCATTAATCAATTCATCATTCTTATATTTTAAACCTAAACTCTAGGGGGTACAAAAAGAGAAAATAAATAAAATAACACCTCCTCCTCCTCATCCCCCATCCAACATTTAACCTTTAGATAAAAAAAAGAAAAAAGAAAAAAAAAAGAGAAAAACAAACGCCAGTCCAGTCCAGATGCGCCTTAACCTTAACCTTAACTGTAACTAAACTTCTCTATAATATTTCTTATTCATGCATAAGCTGATCACGATTCACGATTCGCTAGTGAAAAAGCCTACCTCCCTGCCTGCCTGTCTGTCTGCCCGCCTGCTCCAAAAAACAAACACAAATCAACATTTCAACAGCTCAGTTCAATTCAAACAAAGAATTCAAATCAATCCTTCTTTCCATTCTTAATACCACCTACTGCGCTTCCCCTCCCTCTTAGCGCCCCTTCCAGATCTTCTCTTCCTGAGCTTCCGGTTCCGGTTCCGCTTCTACTTAGTGAAGTATTTCTCAATCTACCAGGAGAAAGTTCAAATCCCCTTCCATCATCACTCCCAGTCCCATCCAATAACTCAATAAGATCCCCCGACCCATTCATTGATGTTCCACCTCCATTCGACGGTGTCCCCGGTGCTTTAACAGCTAATCGTCTAACCCAACCTTCAATAGCTGCTGCAGCATTTTCCAATCCAATTCCAGAGCCCCCCATATTACTGGGCGTGACCGATCCGCTTCTTGCAGGACTGTATGAGTCTTCAGCAATACTTGCAAGTTCGTCTCTAAATCCAAAAGGGACTGTTTCGGAATCTAGGATTGAAGATGAAGGTAAAGAATCGATAGTTATTCCGGGCATATGTTTCCTTGCCCATGTATTTAAAGGATCTTGTCCAGGTCCTGGAGTTGTGACACTCTTTCCTAATGTTCCTACGCCACCAGGTCCTCGAAGCCATCCTAGTCGATCAGCAGCTTCACTTACACTTTCACGGTGGCGACGATTAGCCGAACCAATTGGAGGGAAATAGCTCCCGCTTGTTGGTTGAGACGGTCGAGGTCCTAAATTACTCGTCCTTCGAGAATTTGTACTTGCAGGACTGCTAACTGATTCGCCCGAAGTCGTTTGAGATATACGTGGAAGATCAAAAGATCCACGAGGGGTAGATGTGATGGAATTTGTATTTTGACTCTTTCTCCGTCGAGGTGGAAAGTAGCCCAAAGTCCTCCTCGGCATGCGTGCAATTTCGACTGGTTTAGAATTTGGAGAGGAATCAAAACGAACCCATCGTACATGCTCCCATAGTTTTTCGTCCGACCGCTCTATTGATGTCTCCGATCTCGGTGGCCATACTTCTGGCGCATCTTCCAAACTTGGTGTTGGAGCAAGTAAATCAATCCCTTGACTCAAATCTTGAGATGGATCACAAGGGCGTCCTTTAATTGCACAAGCGTCTACTGGTAGTACAACCACTTGTCGAGTTTGTATGGAGTCATTTGGCCAAAATCTATTGGCCTTTCTAAACACCATAGGCTGACAATTATATCGTAATATCACCCCGGCCAATGTATCATCTTTCTGCACATGGTGTATATAGACCAGTGCATCACCCTCATCGTCTGGTGTTCTACTCGTACTCTCGTCAATAGACGTTCTCCTTTTGTAATTCCCATTTATGTCAATCGATCCGTTTAAATCCGAGTGGTCTTCAAGAACTCTCGTCATTTTTTGTGTTCGTAAAGCTGCATCTCTTTCCGATTGACTGCCCGCGCCAATAACAGCCTCATTCCTCTTCTTTTGTTCCGCAGGTCCCCATGCACCGTGAGGTAACTCAAACAGCTTCTTTACAGAACTACCTTTCCTCCTCGCTTTAAGCCTATCCAAACTTGGTGTCCTTTGCGAACTACTTTCGCCTTCATCGGTGACTAGATCTCCTAGATCCCCAAGCACCGAACTCGCAAGCCCTTGTAATGTACTCCAAGAATTCGACCACCCACTACCCCATGCTCCAGCATTTCCCGCTCGGAATTTCTGGTCTCCTCTCCCTATAGCAGACCCCCCTAGAGCACTCTCCGCAGATTGTGTATCATTGTCGTTTACTCTCCTCGAAGGATGTCTTGAGGGAATTGGGCTTACCCCTCTAGTACTTCCACCAGGACTACTTCTCCTGCTTGAAGTACTGACCAATTCTTGTTCCGTACTGATCAATCTCCTATTTCTCGGTCGTATAGTCGAGGAAGTAGCTGCACTGGAATCGCCGAATCGTGTTTCGTTATCACTGTATAATCGCGATTGATTCGAGATTATCGCGGCTGTTCGTGACGATTGTGACATGGTTGTTTCGCGGGCCGTCCGCACCGGACACTTGAGTTCATGGGAGCATTCGTTGTTTTTGTTTGAATTTCTTTGCGATCATTCGATTGCTATATCTTGAATTATACCAGAATCAGTCGTGTTAGTTATGAATGTATATTTGGCTTCCCTGAAGAGTTGGTTCGCAGGGAACGGACGTTCCAGATTATAGTAAGTTTGGGCTACCGTGTTCGTCATCGTAATAGTAATATTTCTAGTGTACATTTGTCGAAACATATGGCACGTGGAGAACCCGCAACTTAATTAAAGATACCCACTACAGAGAACTCCCCGAAATTGATTGCAACTGATGATTACTTATGTTTTGATTACTTGGGAGGCATATGCGTTTTTTATGTGAGCTACAGCTACCTAATCAAGGAATGTGTCTTTGTGCTTCCGAGACATTCACTTCGATAAGTTTCATATCATGTCCATTATGTGGATCTCAAATGCTTATAATACAGTGGCATGAGCTACACCTACACGCTTCATGACTTTTTTTTAGTTACTCGGGCAAAATGATCAAAAACTCCATCAAGCAAGCCTTAGTCAGCCCACAAGCAACGAAGGGGGTTGATTTCCTTTCCATAAGATCAAGCTAATGGGACATCACCATTCATACCTGTCAAATCCCCATTAATTCCAAAGAATTGAAACCTGGATACCACCAAATTAGTATGCTAACCGGTAGTTACACGGTTTGGTCGACTCACCAATCCTCTACGTTCAAGGTTGTAGGAACAGCCTGCGCAGAACTATTACTCCAGGTATCACTAGGACTTTGGCCTTGAGGCTCATGCATTGTCTGTTCAAAGCCTTGCTGCCAAATATTTTGGTTCATGCCATAATTGGGAACTCCAGATGGAAGCATATTGCCTCCTTGGGTAGGACTACTACTCATTCCAGGCTGGCCTCGTTGCATGCGTTGAGGCAGTTGATTTGATTGATTCTGATTCGAAATTGGCTGTTGGGGTGCACCGAGATTGGGCATGAGGTTCGGATCAAGATTGGGATGGCTTGGCGGGGAGAATTGGATATTATTTAGACCAGGGCCACCTTCAGGGAACAATTGATCTGGTTGAAAGTTCTCCCAGAGAGATTGCGATATGTTTGGGGAGTTTCTAGTAACGAGATAGAGATCTGGGGGTGTGGCCGGAACGGAATATGAGGGGTTGAATGGTGTAGCTGGACGTGTCTGAGGGCGAGAACTAGAGCCTCCCATGAATGTGTCTCGATTCTGTCTTTGATTGGGCGATGTAATGGGCGGTGCAGGCATCGAGGAGGAATTAAATCCTTGACTAGGTGTTTGTGGTCTGGACCGCTCATACGATTCCTGTGGTGCTGGTCCACTGCTTACACCGAAGTCCAGTGACATATCGTCATATTTTCTCTTCAGGCCGTCATTTTTGGCCTGGTTGAGGCCATCGCTAATGCCTTGCGCCATGCGTTTATGCCGTTTCCCAGCAGCTTTCTGAAGGCGCTCCTCGAGAACCTTATTTCCCAAGATGGACTCAAACAGTGTGTAGACCATCTTAGCTACGAGCCAAACTCTCGATACATTCTTCAAGCCATTCATACATACGCGCATTCGCTCTTGGGTAGCTGCGACGATGGAAGGTACTGAGGATCGCATTTGATAAACATGCATGATCAAGGCAGAAAATAGACTGTAAACGATGAATGCTGGGCAGTATCGAAGCTCATCATGTGCTGATAGATTCTCGATGATGGAGGTAATCATACCTGCGGCTTGAAATGCGATAGTCCGAGACGGATATACGTTTTCCTCATAACCACCCCTCTGTGTAGTAGCGGGTGGCATATGTGCTCGGTGTAATAAGCATAGTGTTGTGTAGTAATTTGAATGTAGCAAAGCTGCCCAGAATTGATGTCGAGGCATTTCCCAATATACCTCCTTAGGACAGTGAGAAAGCCAGTCTGCCAAGGCCATATCACTGTGGGTAAGGTCAATCGCATTTTGCCGTCGAGCTTTTGAAGCCACGCTGTATTGTTGTGAGAGAACCAACCCCATGATTTCGCAAAGCTTAACATATTGAAGAAAAAATTGGACATGGATCGGCTCTTGGGGAAATTCGGCTGGCTGATCATTCTCATCCTCGATAAAATCATCCTCACTGACCATCTCCACGTCGGAATCATCAGTATTGATATGCACGGGGCGGCCTAGAGCGACGGCAACAGATCGGTCACGGGTAAACAATGTCCACCAAATCCTCTTCCAAAGCCTCTTGTCAGCTTTGCTGAGTGCAGAACCTTCAACGCTCCTATGCATGCCCGAACCTTGTGCTACAATAGTCGCCACCCTGCTCCAATAAAACACGTTCTTCGTCACATCTTCCGGTCCTTCCCAATACCATCCCATCAGAACCAAAGCCTGTACAATTGTAACCCTGTCATCCTCATAGTTCGCGTCGTATAGGGCTTTAGCGCGCTTGTAAAATGTCAAGGCAGCAGGGGTTGTTGATCCATTGGCATCCATTAACTGAGGATTTGTGCAGACCCTGGATCCAGCCAGAAGGATAGCCTGCAGTAACAAAAGTGAAGGTGGGTTTTTGGCATCTCGATAGTGTCTCATAAATCTGTTCCGATTGATTACAGGCACAATTGGGGCAACCCACTTGAAATATGCATCAACCAATTCATCACAGAGAGATCTAGGAGGAAGTAAAAATGCTCCCCGTTGATGTAGGATATCGATTTCCACGTTATCCAATTCCGTCAACCTCGCCCTGGATCCCCTAATATTTTCCGGTAAAGGATAATGCACAACGTCCGCGTTGCCATGTCGATCATGTACGAGTAATGTCAAATTCGATGATTCTCCCAGATATGCCACTCTTCCTGCCTCTTTTATGGGCGCTCTGGTGAATTTAGGCTTCATGAATTGGGCGTAAGTAGTTTCGTCATTCTCCCGCTGGCGGGCTTGAGCTTCCGTGAGAGAAGTCGAAGGTGTTCCATCTTGAGTGTTATAGGTGATAGTAGTCCTAGGAGTTTGGGTATTCGGGGAATCAACTTGAGGTGACCGTTCGTCGACTGTCTCTCCTCGGTCGCTACCCTCGTCAGCTGCAAGTCCTACAGAAGCCCGAGGTAAATTGTACCTATCAGAATCTTTGGCTTTGCCATTTGTTTTCTTGCGTTTCGGCGTTGGAATCTTGCATTCTATCGAGAATGCGACGCAGTTTGTGCAAGGCACGCCTAGACTCGCAGCATCACATCGTACCTATCACCCCCATTAATATATCCTCTAGAAGCTGCATGACACTGCAGCCGCGCAATAGGTTTGCGTAACCTTACCTTCCTAGCATGGCATGTCTGCGAATTGTTGTTAGCAATTATTCGTCAATATCCATTTAATCCTCCACAATCACAATCTGCTCCTCGGACCGAGGCATCAAAATATCGATGGATAAGAAATGGGCAGATATCTACATACTTGGCAAGCTCGTGAAGCTCGTTGTCTTCATCCCGAAAAATGTCAGCGCATTTATATACCGGACAATAATTCCATCCTACCTTCTAAATGAAGCATGGCCCGGAAGCTGTGAACTCGGTGCAGCATTTGAGCCAGCAGGAGCTTGACTACTCATTTGCGGTGCTGGTGCAGAGTATTGATTAGATGCACCATCTGCAGACATTTCGTTTGAGGCCATAGCAGCCATAATTTCCCGACGCTCTTGTCATGCAATTGAATGATATAATGGAAATCCCTGGTGATAAGTCGTCGGATTGATTTGTGTACTGAGTGTCGGTGGGAAGTTGGTTGTCGCGAGGTTGATAAATTTGGGCCTCTCGGTACAGCTATTTTTACGTTTTCGGGACTTGAATTAGGTACGACTGCGAGAAATTGGTGGTCATGTGGGGTAAAGATGAATGATTTTAAGGTACGGAGTACTGAATTGATCAGATCATTGATCATTGATTGATTGATCTGCGGCTATGTATGAATCCGTTTGCGCTGAAATACGTTCAATTGTATTCGTTCGAAATAATTGAGCCAAGAAGAAAAACAACCAATTGCAATCCTAGGATTCTTTGTTGTATCTTTGTATACATACTTCAATTCGATATGGCATGTCGAAGTAAAAAGTAGGTAGGTAGGTAGTAGCTATCAAATATCCATCAGTCCGTCCGTATAGTAGTATATTCACACGGAGTACATAAGCCCCTTTCGCAACCCTAAACACAGGAGAATAATAATAATAAGTGAGGTATACCCAGGTAGTTACAAATCATACAATGCTCATTAGCCTCCAGTTATTAATAAGGTTTTCTAGACTCCGTACAGCGTTGCGGGAGAACACGCGACAACTTCTTCTCCACTCATTCACGCACATCATCACAACAACGGCAACGCTCAACCTAAGCCGCATAAAGCATCTTGTGGATTGCGGGATGGCGCATTGGCGAACTTAATTGTCCATAGAGAGGTTAATGGTTTTCGGTTCAAATTGCCCTATTACATGGAATGCGGCATGCGTGTCAATTAGCGGCCGTACCTTTCATTCAATTCTTTTATTTCTATCGATACCGATGGCCATCGTCTATGTACAGTGCCGCAGATACTAGGTAGTTTTTGCTATCGAAAGGCCATCTATCTTCGTCTAAAAATGCCCATCATATCAGCAATACACTTAACACCATTTCGACCAACGGTCCTCCCCACTTACGTCTTAATCATCATCTACTACATACATCTACCGAGTATATGAAATCAGTGCCCCCTGCCCATATACATGACGTAGATCATTGTGGAGCGAGCTGCAGAGCGGATCAATATTGAGCATGCGTACTAGGTAAATTTGTTCACCCCTCACTTACAACAAAAAGTTATGATGAATATATATCGGAATCCTCGCATACGAAATGAACCCGGAACGATCCAGCCTTACACCCCGCAATCCTTATATTCACCGCTAAAGGATGTGTACTAAGTTTGAGCTTAATTCAATCCTCAGGTGGGCTAGGAGCCTCGGTACCTTTTGGCCAGTTCCTGGAGTATGTTTCTTCATGTGATATTCAACATGCTCATGCATGGCGCTTCGTAGACAATACCTAACAATTCTCGTCATTGTAGACCGTGGTTTTATCTAGCGTCATTACAATATATACATTTCATCCTTCACGTACTTTTCCTATTGACAGCAGTCTTAGTATTTCCATTCCCCAACTTTTCATCCTTCCTAATGACCCCTCCAAGCTCCCGTTCCTTCCCGAGCTGACTAGAATTATCCTCAACTTCTACACCTGCGATGAAAAGCTCACTGACACCTTCTAAACTAGCCACAAACAGACATAGCAAGCTTGCAATGACGAAGTGACTGATCGTAGACCCGATTTCCAACCACGATCCTTCATCCTTGACCACCCAGAAGAAGTGCAGGGTCAGGAAGTCGCTGATGGCAATTACTACCATGAACAAGGCTGATGGAGCGACGCCTAGTCTCTTGTTCAAGATACCCAAGTTCGCTGAAATCAATGCAAATGGGATCATGAGCTTCACTATCAACAAAGCTCCTTGAGAGAACGGATCAAAGACTGGAATCAGACGATTCACGCTGTCCAGACTAAAGGATGAGACAGATGCCATGTTCCCAGTGCTGAAAAATGCTGACTGCAAAAGTATGAGGAAGAATAGAGATATCCGTGCATCTGTCAATGTGAGAGAGCGGAATGGAGAGGAGGATAACGAAGCAGGGATTTCGGGCACTGAGGCATCATTTGCCTTGGTTGTCTTTTTACTCATAGTGTGTTTATGGATGTTATGCTCTAACAGAACCCAGGTGATAAGGGTGGAAGAAAATGCAAAGTAGAATAAGCCTTCGTATGAGATTGTGAGAATAACAAATAGTGGCGCAAATGTCAAAAATATGATCATTAATCTGTGAAGATAATGGTTATTAGGCTGTAGGCGATGCAAGAAGGGCATTATCAAAGACGCCACTTATTCATGTTAGCTTTCCCCAGATTAACAGCTGTTCATGAACTCACCAATTAAGCACCAACCAATGATTTGATTGCCTCGAGGAAGTCCCATTCTGGCCTGTAAGGACATCGCTGTAGATCTCGTGACGATCATGGATAGGATAACCAACCCAATCTATTTAGATGTCAGAATTCATAGTTTAGGGTAATGGGCAGGATCATCCTCACCTGCGCTCCAATGAGGGAGCGGGATAGAAGATTATCGGCTGGCGCGATGGAATCACCTGCCATCTTGGATTTTGCCAGCAGCTTTCTTTCAAAAGCAAGATATAATACACCTACGGCTACCATCAACGCACCACCGTATAAACTATGCGCGAGGTTAACTAGAATCCTACTACTTGTGATAGTGGCAACCTACATAAGATCTATATCTTCCACTTTCATTGCCGGGAGTAATGTGAAAGAGCTCATTCCGACACACGACACAATCCACGTTAGAGTTAATGCCTTGTTGTTCTTCAAAAATCCCAGCCCGTAGAATGCCGGCCAGAAAGTTGCTAAGATGAATAAAACGGAGAAGATTTCTCTGTATGTGTATCCCCATGCCTAATCCATGTATAAGTAACAATAAATCGTAGAATCAATACATTGACTTACGAGACATTCGATGAGACCTAAGAAAATTATAGCCTTGATGATTATTCCAATAAAAGCAAATGGTGATTTTATATGACCAAATAGTGCTTTCCCGCCTTGTGTGAGGGCATTTCGGCGAGCATACACCTCTTCCCAGAATGCTACTGGGAAGATGGCATAAGCATAATATGTTAAAGGCGATTCTGACACAATGAAAGAAGCAAAAAGAGCGACAAGAATTGATGAGAAAAACAGACTAGCAGCCAAAGTTCTGGAGGTCTTAGTATTTCCATGAAGAACGTGAAGATCAATGACAGTGGTGAGGGCAAACATGATCCAGCCCAGGTATCCAATTGTGATCAAGGCTCTCAGGAAAAGCCAATCATACGTTTGAAGATAACGTAGACCAGCTAAGCCAAGTCTCACAAGTTCTGCAGTCTCTCGGATTGCTTCTTCATGTTGACCTCGATTGATCAAATTTCTGATATCAGCTAATCGATGCTCAGCGGTGTGATTATCATCTCCGAGACCTTCAAACGGTCGATACCTCAACTCCGTAGCTTTCTTGTGTTCCTCTTTGATTCGATACATATCAAGAATACCTCTAGCATTAGCAAGAAAAGCTTCAGCTTTTTCGGGAATATCCGCTGCAAGGTAGGGCAAGGGTAATTCTCCGACTGAATTGACCGGAAAGTTGACTCCAGCCAGATATGCCATGAGAGCTGCGACATCTGCTTGCGAAACATCATGTCGATGGATGTGATCCATTCCCCAGTCTGAGGATAGCTCATCGTGACCTGGTGCGATTCCATGGGCCTGTACAACTGGCTTCGCAACTCCGGATCCCCAAGCAATGAGTGGAGTGCGTGTGTTGTCTGGGTGTCCATCACCATGGCTTCCCCAATCACTCATTCCATGATCAGCTGTGAAAACAAAAGCGGTTTTATCATCATTATAGAAATTTTCGATAACCTTTGTCACTTCCTTGATGCCTTCGTCCACAACCTTGAGGTTATATAGATATTCTTTCGAGTATGGCCGATAACCATGACCTGTAGTATCCAGGCCAAGAAGATGTAGAAAGAACACATTCTTATCTTGTCTCAATACGGCATTTAAAGTAGCGTTCTTGGCAGCTTCTGCAAAAAGAGCCTTAACTCTGTCGAATACCCAGATATCCAAATGTAAAGCTGCCTTTGAAAAGTCCTCCTCCTCAGCAGAATATGTGTATGCATCTACACGACCTGGCACAGCGCCCAACTGAAACATTGGCAATATATCTGGACTCCCCCATGACCAAGTATGCCTACTCCTATTGAAAACACTGTCAAAGTTTACGGGGTTGAGTTTCCATCCAGTAGCAACTGCCGACACATCTTCGTACATACCCGCAATGAGCGCAACATGTCCGGGGCGAGACTCCGTAGGGACTCGAGTATGAGAGACACCGAAAGTGCCGTGCCCCAGCACCCGCGAACGAAGGAATGGCGCAAGAGGGCGTGGGATGAGATCTTCTTCCGATTTTGGATATGGTTCTGGAAATGATTGGAAGGCTTTATCTGCTCGTAGACCATCACCTGCAGACGCAGAATATCAGTTGATTGCGTTCACAAAAGGTGATATAAAAAATAGATCGAACAAACATACCAACGAAAAGCACCAAACGCTTTGCTGGAGCTTCCACTCCATCTGGCCGTTCTACTCCAAATTCGCGCATCCCAGACACTATTGGACTCACAAAATAAATATCAAAGATTGAATAAATGTAGACTAGATGAAAAGCCATTGCAATGGCTAAAAAGCCAAAGCGATTAACTCTAGCCATATTGTTGATGAGTCTGTCTTCTGGATAATTCGTACTCCAATGCGTCCGCGTTCAATTGAACAAACAGCTTCGACTTCTTGATGGACAGATTGTCTAAACACCTTGACGGGTTTATGCCAAAATCATCTGTAGAAAAATTAAACGAATGGCGCGCCCTCAATGGACGAGAATTATGTATTGTAAATACAAATCAGATGAGAATCTTTCTTCCCCTTAATAGATATCTCAATGTTCAAAAGATTTCGAAGACTTCCCTATTGTCGATAAAATTATCCGATAGGACACGACATCATCGGTTGCCAAGGGACCACCTGGTGGACGTTTGAGATCATCTATTTTTTAGCTTTTTTTCTTAACTTCAACGACACTGCACCAAAGTGCAAAATATTCATTTTCTACTCCCCCGCTGACAATATCAGTCAGTATGTGGCACAAAAATTCTCGATTTGGTTGAGCAATGTTTTTGTGGTCGTTGGGTAGTTTTTAATCATAGGTATTAGTGCCCTCACGGGAAAGCTCACCGGGAACGGTTCCTCCAGCTTTGTTCATGACGTCTAAATTGTGGTTCACTCAACATATAATGGCGGCGTTATCAATTTTCATTGAAAATTCAAGAAAGATATATCGCCTATCCTTGAAATCCATGTGGTTGAGTGATCGTATGAGCAATAATACCATTCCGCTTTTTCTGATCAAATACCTGCTTTACCGTACCCAACGTTCAGTGCGGATAGTCTCTGTAATTATGCACTCGTTCCTCAAACAATCAAAGCTCAAGCAAGTATGCTTAGTATCTTTGTAATAGAGAAGTTTCTTATGTATTCTACAGCTCGTAACTGCTTGACCAAAGTTCCATGCAGCCACATGCTCGGGCCCCGGCGATTTTTTTTCCTTCATCAATGTTGTGCCAACAGCAGCTGCAGTTTTGACTGAGAATCTGTCCTCAAAAGGGCCGCAATAAAGCTACCGCGATATCGTTCTCGCATCATTGCCGGGAATCAAATTTATACATTGTTAAAAGACTTGATAATATCTGCACTTTTCCAGGAAGGCAAACCTGTGGGTCTGTGTTGTGCTGTGCTGTGCCATGTCATATTGTATATTTACTTTGGGATGCATTTTTGATTCAAGGCAGCTTCGTGAGTTCTATAGTGAGCAAGACATTCCCCTTCTACGAATAAGTTTTCTTTAGAAATGGAGACCTTTAGTTTCTCAACCCAGAAGCTGACAGGGAGAGGGTATACATATCAACATGCTACTATGCTAACTATAACACCGAACTAAACTTCGTACTGCCAGTTCACATTGTAATTTCATTACCATAACATCCTTTTCTTGTTAATATCCTTCTCCTGATTGCTATATTATACCAGAATATAATAACAGCATACCCGCTGTGAAAATTAAAGCTATGAGATCAATCTACAGCTTTAGGAGCCGCATCATCATACTCCCCTAGATCAATTTCAGTTACCAACCATTCAAAGATCACTAGTCAATGGATTACAATCCGTATATATAAAGGACGTACTAGTTGTAAGCCCACTGTTTTCTTTCGTCTCAAGCAGTATTCCGTTTCCATGTCACTATCCATTTCAACTATCACCCTCATACATCTAGCGACAACACTTCAAGAAGATTTGCCTCTGGATTCATTACACAATCATCATATCGATCAAAAAAAAGCGATGCTGTCACATTATATTGTTTTCTTCTCACTATTATATTTCAAACCCTGTAGACTGTTTACAGCACGGGGATTACCAGGAGCTCCATGGTACTTTCTACTTACCTGCTAATCCAAAAGTGTTATAGGCATCTACAGGCTCAAGACCCTGTAACAGATATGCAATAAAAACAACTGAGGAGTGGTGGTAAGATGTGATCGGTTGATTGACGGGGTGAATATAATATATATAAAGAGTGAAGCAAGGGAGAGACGGAAAGTGAAACGGCAATAGTCAAGTATGAAGGAAGCTATTCGACAACCTCTAGCTTCATCTATATTTTATCAGATCTCTGAAGTCATATATTTAGTGTCATTGGAGTAGACTTGCATATCAACAGTGAAGCTGCAATAACATATCATACATCTTCACTAGAATTGCTCAGCCTGGAATTTTATCCCAGAAGGATGCAGCACGGTGAGTGGCGCTTATTGATTTCAAAATAGACGATAAATTATCTTATATATCCTCTAATCAGTTGTAGACCTATCAAACAATTCGTAGTGAAGCTCACATGTGATCAAGGAAATATAAAAACGATGCAAGCACGGAGCTAGATGAAGTTCAGCTACAAAACACAAGAACGAGGAATATAAAGTGAAGGACGTAAAGAGGAAGATCTGGGCAGAAGAAGGATTTGAGGATGGGATATGATCAAATATGTTCAATAGAACTCTATTACTGATATCGAGAGAGTAGCGCAATAGATATTGGACAGAGGTGCTAAGTAAGGATCGGGTTTGGACGGGACATGAAGAAAGAGAACACAGATGGGGAGGATACAACTCTTCCATTCTTCGATGTATTTCCTTTCCATGAGTTTCTTTCGTGAGTTCTTCATGGCAGAACAACCTGAACCTACGAAAAAAAACCATCGCAAAAGAAAATTAAAATTCAAAATCTAGTCAGATAAAGCTACCTACTTAGGGCAACGAGTCGAGTAGTAAATCACATCCTTGCAGTATTCCTACATACCTACCTAATCCATTCCTACCTACTCATTTGCACACAAAATCTTTGATGAATCTCCTCCACTAATTTCTTAACCTCCTTCAAATCTCTATCACCGCAGCAAGACCAAAAAAAAGAGGATAACAGCTTCGAAAAAGCAAGATCATGAATGAGCCAAGCCCAATGCTGTAATTTATGACATCGAATCCCATGTTAATAGTGAAGTAATAAACCAGGAGAGAAACAAGATTTTACCATCCATAAAGACTCCCAGACTCTCTGAAATGCGCTACTAGAACTAACTACCTAGTAGTGTTGTGATTGGTATCTACCTACCTAGGTAGAACCGGGGATTTCAGTCTTAGTCTTAGTCTATTAAAATGTATGGTTTTAACTTTAGTTATGATTTCATTAACCTACTACGAGGAGAAGGATTTCGAAGTCGATAGGATAGGAAATCATCATTATCAATATAGAGAAGATATTTAATTGTGCGCAAATTCAAATACCTCTATGAGGTAAGGAATAATCATGTTCAAAATTGTGATGTTTATATAGACACTTGTCTTTGTTGCTCTGGGGGAGCACTCCGATGACTTGGAGTAGGATGATAAACATTGCAATGGGATGGGATCAAATGATATGGAAAGTTGTATTGTATCCAGATTCTGTCCCTCTTTTGTATAGATATGGTGTATACAAATATTGTGTACAACACCTACCTTACCTAGGTACCTTACCTAGGTACCTTACCTAGGTACCTTACCTATATACCTATTTATATATATATAATCCATATACATATCCAAACCCCAACCCACAATATTCCCCCTCACAAACACAAACTCAGCATAACCAATTACAACCCACCCTGCACTCCATCTCTCCAAACCCCCAAAATCTCCCACCACAACCTCAAACCCTGCCTGCACACTACCCCATACACCATAAACACATCAAAATCCACCGCCTCAATCTCCCCGCTCTCCTCTCCCTCGTATCAAAATTCAAAAATCAAAAACCTACACCTACACCTACTTCACTTACTTCACTTACTCCACTTCACTTCATTCATACATACATACATACATACCAAGCCCACAGCATCAACCCCATTACACGATTTTTTCAACCAGTAACATTGTAAGATCCTACCATCTTATTATAGACCAAAGCAGTTGACATTTTCGCACTGAGTGCATATACGATTGCATGAGGGACAGGAAATAAATGATGTAAATGCTGTGTCTTTTCGCTGCAGAGGAGGAGTTCTCGTGATTCGTGGGGGATGTGGATGATGTGATGTGATGTGATGTGATGGATGGCTATGGGGAGTGATGTATGCGAGTTGATAGATAGATAGGTGATCTAGATCACCAAATAGATAGATAGATGTATGTATGTATAGAGGAATTGTGTGCATATACGGAGTAGATACGCATGCATACTTGATTTATTATACGGGAATAACTATTGGAATTTGGTTATCTGTGAGGAGGATATTATTGGTGTATATATTTTTTTGAATATTTTTCAGAGATGATGATTAATATGAAGCTAAATCCACGATTGCGGCGTAAGAGATGATTCCGCATACGCATACAGGTATTTAGTACGGTCTTGGGGATTTTCGAAACGTGCCGTGTGCCGGCTCGACTCTGGTCTATCTACTTGGCAACTGTAGTTTAGATAAGAAGTTGATTCTGTTTTGATAGTATGTACTGGTGTACTCGAGTAACTAACGTAAGTTACATACTTGGAAAGTACATAAGCAGGCATGCAAGACCAAGAGATTCGGAGAGTCAGAGGCGTTATTTACGGGTAAATTGTTATTGGTTGGATGGGGTTGATTCTAGATACCATGTTATTCTAGTACATATATGTATGTAGAGTAGTTTATCCTAAATGTGATGCGATGCTGTGGGTAGACGAGTTTGTTGAGGTCAAGTTGTGTTTAATGCTGTTTGTTGTTGATAGCGGGTTTTGTTACCGAGTTATCTGCAGGTATATAATTATGTAAGTGTTGATGAAGACTAAACTAACTGATGCTCGCATATAATATCGGCATCTGAAATTCTCAATCGAGGTCTCTCAACCAAATTTGTAAGGAAAGTGGATATGAATTGATTCTTTCAGACTTCTGAAGATGTCGATCAGTCCGTGTAAACTTGCAGGCTGAGACGTCCATCCATCCATCACCTTAGCAAAAGGAGGAGCGTGGTTTTGCTATGTTCGAGTTAGCGATGTCAGCAGCAGCATTTTAGGAAATCAAAGCATGTGCTTTGTTGGTAACGAATCACCCTTTTCATGGCCGCCGTCTCACCCAATTGTTCTTTTGAGAAGTACCAAACTCTCTTATCGGAATCTCCATGAGGCTTTGTTACTCAAAATAAAAATCAGGGTTACAATTAGAGATGAAGTAATTTTATATTCCACGTCTTTTTCTTTTTGGACGGACATCTGAAAACTCTCCCCCATTTCCGGCTCTTCCCCAACATACTGAAATTATTCGATAATACACTTCATCCCCAACCAACAAGAAGCTTCAAACAGATGAATTTGACTTATTCTTAAGGGGTTTGAGATATTTTGGTTTCTCAGCAATGTGAATTATCCCTCAGTCATTCCATATAAATTCTATGATTATTAAACCCTCCCTCCTTAACTTCTAGTTTGATGGCCGCAATTCTGAATTAGACCGGTAGTCCGAAATAAGCAAGGATGGACTGTTGGGAATAAGAAATGGCTTTGATACTTATTACTGTAATGGTTTAATGGTTTTTCGTAGGGAGATCGACTTTGTGGAATCGAAGAATGATAGGACCGAAGATTTGTTTTCATACCTATTGGATAACATCAATGTTGGACGGGAAGTCATTGTAAATAGCCCCTGCATCAAGCGTGAAGGCCTTTCTCCGTCCAAGCAATAATATTCGCGAAATCTTTGGAACAAACATCCTTGAGCATAACGAGAGGGTAGAGAGTAGAGTGTACAGAAATAAACCCATATTTCAATGTTTGACATACTGTTGATATGCACTCGAAATCTATTTTGATACCACCATGGAGATTGAGGTTTGGTGAAATGACCACTTACATTTTCTTCCTCCAAGTGTTCAAGATGAGAGAAAAGCTAACCCAGTTGGAGTGCCCAAAAGAATACTCTGTACCAACAATTATTAGATAACCTTGTGGCTACCAGGAAAATCCCATGGTAAAAAAGCTACTAATGCATTGCATACACCGCATCATGCAGTGTTTATTTACATCGCTTCAGAACACCAATGAAAGTTCTAGATGTCGCGATATCAAAAACTTCCAAACATGCAATAGGAGTACGAATAATACTCTATCTCGTATCTACCAAGCCATAAAGATTTACAACAGCTTTTCCCACTCAACCTCAAACATCAGTTACGAAGAATGGAACCGCAATATCACCTGTATTACAATCGTCTATCAAAATATCGGCGCAGTAGAAATCCAATCTGCCAAGAGGCTTTATAAGAACATACATCATCATGCGATAATGACAAGATGAGTGCAAAATGTAGATCATCCCCTATTTACCAATCACGGTGTGAGAGATCCTCACGATAACTTCCTGTGTATGTGCTAAAAAGTGGTTTGTTTGAACGTCCGGTCTTTCTACCAGATGAGAGGTAGAACAACCACGGATTGACGTGATATTGGTACCATACTCTCCGTACATATGTTTGAATGAAATCTTAGATGCTTAGCGATCTGTTTGAATTGTTAACTTTAAATTGTGATGTAAAGCTATGAATATATATGTATATATCTCTAGGGCTTTCATTGATCACGACAGACCTGTGTAAGAGATTCTAGATCCATTAGCTTTGATTTGTAGATATCCTGGGAACTGCCTGTATACCAGCGATAAGTAATACAATTAATTACTAATGGTACTGGTATGTACTGACTGGTATTCCTACACTCGAGCTACTCCACGATCATATGTTACATATAATAAAAGCGGTAAAGCCAAAGCATCAAATTAGGTACGGAAGTAGAAGAGCTTAATCATCGATGAGCCTTCTCATCTTCATAACGGGGTTGAAAGTTAAAAGTTGAAAGTTAAAAAAATAAAATAAAATAAAATAAATGGGATAGTGCAGATTAATTACCTGGTATCTTACTACAAGCCTACCTCAACAAACATTAACAGGATTAGTTATTGGTTGGACAAGGTGAAAAATCCATTTAGCACGAACCTAAATATCCATTCTAGGTACAGCACTCTACCTGGTAAAAGACTAATAAAAGTACACTGTAACCTTACTAAAGTCGCCTATCCTAATCAGTTCCTTCAAGGCTTCTCAGATTTCTCGTTTGCGGCTTTTTTAAATCCTGTCATTCAAGAAATCGCCAAATCTCTTGTTCCAGCCTTTTCGTCAATTCTTCCCAATTCTCCTCAGAACTCCCACACCGAAAGCGATTTCCCACGTTATTCTCCCTTTCGAAATTTGGAGGATCGTGTCGCAAGTCTGCTTAGATGCGGAGGAGATCATCTGGCTCGGCCGCAGAGGAAGAAGGCAACGATTCATCTGCAAATCCGGACGCAATTGAAGGACCAGGGTTCACTGCTCACTCTGGAACCGAAGTGTTGACATTGAATAGTAAGGATTTCCAGAATTTTCAATCAACTTCACGACAAACCAGTCCTCAACATACACAATCCGAATTAGATCGAAGGAAAAGTTGCGATAAGAGACCCCTGGCTGCCAGAAGCCGGCGCCCCAGCAATACAAATTGGAAACCAACAGAATCGCGCAATGGACATATAGATAAAAGTCGACCTACCGATTCTGCTGTAATCAGTATTTCTTCAAAAGGGGCGATCGAGGTAGACAAGATGACCGACTCTAGACAAGCTTCACGACGGTCGAGGCTGCGAAGTCCTTGGTCTTTTACTCCATTGACCTTTGGCACTACAATCATAGCCTTACTTACTTTGGCCTCTATTATACATTCATTTACTACGCGACAATTGGATAATAAAGGATGTCGAATGTCATATATGAGGCCTTCTTTTGCGAAGTTGTCAGATTTCGACACGGAACATACCCGTTTTGCGAGCAAATATTCCGTCTACCTATATAGGGAAGGAATGGTGGACGAGGATACCAAGGTATGCAATTTTGTGGAGAGTAAGAAGCTAAACTTACGAATAATTTCTAGGTCAAAGGTGTTCCCGTTTTATTCATACCTGGTAATGCTGGAAGTTATAAACAAGTTCGCCCAATTGCCGCAGAGGCTGCAACATATTTTCACGATGTTTTACAACACGATTCTACAGCGATCGAAGCCGGAGCTCGGAACCTGGACTTCTTTACTGTTGATTTCAATGAGGACATAACGGCCTTCCACGGACAGACAATGTTGGACCAGGCAGAATATTTGAATGAAGCGATTGCCTATATCTTGTCTCTATACCACGATCCTCGAAGATCACAGCGTGACCCAGAGCTTCCAGATCCAACTTCTGTTATAATATTGGGGCATTCGATGGGTGGAATTGTAGCGCGCACCATGTTGATCATGCCGAACTACCAGTCGAATTCGATTAACACAATTATTACCATGTCAGCTCCACATGCTCGACCTCCAGTTTCCTTCGATGCAGAGATTGTCAAAACTTACAAGCAGATCAACGACTACTGGCGTCAAGCGTATTCACAGAAATGGGCAAACAACAATCCTCTATGGCACGTTACTTTATTATCCATAGCTGGGGGTGGACTTGATACTGTTGTTCCGTCGGATTATGCCAGTTTGGAATCCCTGGTGCCAGATACACATGGATTTACCGTTTTCACCTCGTCTGTCCCGAACGTATGGACCGGTATGGATCATCAAGCAATTTTGTGGTGCGATCAATTTAGAAAAGTCGTCGTTAGATCTCTATACGAAGTTGTCGATGTGAACCGGCCTGCTCAAACGAAACCTCGAGCGGATAGGATGAGAATTTTCAAGAAATGGTACTTGACAGGAATGGAGAGCCTCGCGGAAAAGACCCTCTCACATAAGGAACCAACGACTTTGCTTACTTTGGAAGACGATTCACATGCAATAATTCCTCAAGGAGAAAGGTTAACTCTTCGAAAATTTGGCGAGTCTCGAAAACCAAAAGCACATTTACTTCCAATCCCTCCCCAAGGAACGCCAGGTGGAAAACGATTCACACTTCTTACTGATCAGAAGCTCGATAAGCCTGGGGATTCTGGAAAGTTGGAAGTTCTCTTTTGCAGCGTTTTCCCATTACACCCTGGCCAATCAGCTACGTTATTTTCCATGAATATGGATCTGTCTGGGGATAGTTCTGGATCTACAAGATTGGCTTGCAAAAGTGCCGCAAGTGACGTTATTCCTCTGCCAGCATCGACCCGAACATCGAAAAAGCCTTTCTATCTGGATGAAGAGGAAGAAATCTTGCCATTTTCTTATTTGCAATACGACCTGGAGGATATAATCGACCACCAATTTGTTGCTATCGTCGATAAAGCAGTTGACCCTACACCTGGATGGGTGATCGCCGAGTTCAGTGATAACGTTCAATCACATCGAATCAGATCACTGAGCCTTCGACGTCTCCTGGCTTTTGGTATGAAGATGAGACTCCCACCAAATAGACCAATGGTTGCAGAGGTCAAAATACCCGCAATACACTCGAGTTTATTGGCGTATAATCTGGAAATGGGTAACCAGGTATGTGGTGAAGAATCGGAGCTCTTCACTCCCCTCCTACGACAGTATATTTCGGAACCTTACGAGTCAAAATATTTTGTAAACGTGAAGCGAGCAACCATTAATCTCCATGGAGTCTCTCCGTTTATGCCTCCCGCACTCAAATATAAAGCAGTTCAAGATGGATTAAGTCTTCAATTCTGGACCGATCCGACTTGTAACTCGAGCATCAAAATTTCACTGAGTGTTGATATCCCAGGCAGTTTGGGAAAGTTGTATATGCGATATCGGACTGTCTTTGCCGCATTTCCTTTACTTGTTGTTGCGCTAGTCTTGCGGAAGCAATTTCGAATGTATGATGAGACGGGAATATTCATTTCCTTTGGAGAGAGTCTGGACTTATGTTTGCGACAATCTTTACCCTTGGTGCTATTAGCTCTTACATGCCTGTCAGTATCTTTCTCTAGGGCAAGTACGGCACTACCTCAAGGAGCTCCCACAGGATTCTTTGGATGGGGAAGAAATGCATCGGAAACTGTCATCGACTATACCAAAAATGATCTGCTAGTGGGATCACAAGATCCATTCTTCTGGTTCATGGTTCCTCTCATTGGACTTGTTTGCATTGGCGTATGTGTGATGATCAACTATGCTACGTTGACCATTACTCACGTCCTGAGTGTGTTATATGGCTGGATCAGTGTTAAGCCAGCGTGGTTGCGAAATGAGGATAGGAAAAGAGCATCATCCCCCGCCTTTGCACCATCTTCTCCTCGACGACGTGTGTTTACCACCGGCGTACTGCTATTTTTGGTGTCTACAGTCATCCCTTACCAATTCGCGTATCTGGTTGCATGCCTGGTGCAAGTAGCCACTTGTACAAGAGCCCTTCGATTCGCCCGTGAAGCACGTTCGAACACGAACTATAATTTCTACAACTATGTACACTCGATACTTGTTCTCATGCTCTGGATCTTGCCGATCAACCTTCCGATACTCGTTGTATGGATCCACAACTTGGCAGTGCATTGGCTGACACCATTTTCCTCTCATCATAACGTACTTTCAATTATGCCCTTCATCCTTTTGGTGGAGACATTGACTAGTGGCAAGATGGTCCCTCGGGTCACATCACGCGCTCGACACATTACCAGTATTCTCCTCTTTGGTATCGCGATATACGCCGCAGTATATGGGGTGACTTATGCTTACATGCTTCATTATCTGGTCAATTTAGTAGCAGCTTGGCTTGTCGCTATTCATTCTTCAACTTCGAATTGGACACTGGCTGGTGTAACGACCATGTTTGATCCCGAGAGCAATGAAAATACTCGGAAACGCGGAAAGACACCTTGAACGACAGTACTGTTTCACGAATTTAACTATAGTACCATATTCAACGATTCACGATTCAATGTTTACCATCTTCTTAGCCTTCACTACTCTTCTAATCGGTTGAATTCATGGGCCCCCACAATTCAAGGACCCATTTTCTTACTTTCACGCACTAGAATTTTCGGCGTTTTTCAGCAAAGTATAGAACTTTGAACGTTATCACGCACGTTTTTCTCGAGTTACACTTTTCTAGACTTCACTTTTTTTGTTAGTACCGGATGATGTTTCAAAATGCGGACCTCATTTGCATAAACTATACTCATGAGCGCTGTATATAGGGGGGTTGGCGTTTTCTTCTTCGGCTGCAAACTGTAATTAGGCACATATTTACATTTTTGTGATACGACTAGTGTCGTTATCTCAGGGGAAGAGGTATGAGTTGAAAAGGTATATTAAGAGAGCTGAGAGAAAGCGAGGAATGATAATGCCGTAGCCGGGCAATCGTTGAAAATTTTTTGGCTACCCTTTAATGTTTTATATTATCTTCTTCTTCTTCTTCTTGCGGTAAGAAGGAGATTGAAGATAAGAGGAGGGAAGGGTGATGGAAAGCAAGGCTGAGATGGAGTGGAAAGTGACAATGAGGCAGGCAGGTATGAAATGTATGTGTTTCAAAGGCAGAGATTGGATGGATCATTGAAGACTTTTCTGCACTGCTTTTCCTTTGACTTCAGGTGGGGAATGGGGGGATGGAGATGTTGTGGTCAGAACTTTGCTGTGCTGTGCTGTTGCTTATATACCCTTTGGTTTGGAAATGGAATTGGGAAATGGAAATGGAATTGGAATTGTGGATTTGTGGGTGGGATGAGATGGGTGGTGTAGTTGGATGGAGGAGAGATGACCGAAGGAATGGGAAGGAAAGTGTATGTACCTACCTACCTACCTAGGCATAAATGATGATGCGGTGTTAATAAGTTCAGTAATTGAGCTGAAGTGAGATGAGCCGGGGTGGGGTTGGGTGAGGTGAGATGTGGAAGGAAATAATTGAATATAAACTCTGAAAAGGAAAACTAACTTTTTTTTTATATACATATACCTACCTATTTGGCTTTTTTTGATTTTTGAAATTTGATTAATGTCCTTTGATTTTGATGGGAATCACGCGTTTGTAGTATATGTAATTATGTCATCAACTTCTTCATTTACACTCACATTTCTACACTTACCTTACCTATTACCTATCCCATCTCTATGCCTAGGTAGGTAGATAGATAGGGTATGTTTATATCAGCGGAAAGAAGAGAGAGAAACCTTAAGAAAAGAAATAAAAGGATGGGGAAGAGAGAAAAGAAAAAAAGATCCTTGCTATTTCCCTGTCTAAACCTCAAATTGATATGGTAGGGTAGTTGACCGGCTAACTATCTATCCATCCTAACCTCCAAAACCATCCAATCTATCCAAATAACAATAGCCAGATTCAAGTCCTACACTCATGTCGCTCTCGTCGCAGTAGATAGGATGATAACACCATGGCGTTATCAGATCCTCTCATACTGTCTTACCATTCTCAGGTTGTTCAATTTTTTTCCCTGGAGCACCCACGGGGAAATAGGTCCTCATTCACTCATCCCTCTCATCCTCCTCAATTTTTCTCGCTTCCTCCATGCGTGCCAAATGCGTATATCTTATACACCACAAACTAACCACTAAACCTAACACTGATGCTCCAACTGTAACCAGATAAGCGCTACGGTAACACTGTAAGCCCTCTGTGCATTCTCTTACACCACCATCTTTAACAATACTATGACGATCATAGACTATGCCATAGAAGAGGTTAAAAATGTATCCCGATATGACGGGAGAAAGAGTCATGAAGCCCCAGTTTGTGGATAGTCCGTGAACACCAAACGCATCAGCTACTAGGGACGGGAAACAACCAAACAGAAAACCGTAACCGAGACCAGTGAATGAAGATACGAGGAAGAGGAGTTGTGGATTTTCCGTGTTGAGAGCCGCGATTTGTGCGATGAAGAAGATTATTGAGGCGAGTGTTAGACACCAAAGGCCGCTACAGCGAAGGACTTTGACAAGAAAGTCGGAACCGACGCCTACGGGGATGTTAGTGGCGGGGGATTTAGAAGGGAAGAGATGAAGTACCTGAAAGGAGACGACCAGTGAATGAACAAACGGAAAGGATGGATACATGCATCGCTTGACGATGCATGATAAATTCTTCTGGAATGGAGTCATCCCAATGACGCCAAAGTGCTTGAGCATCATTTCCGATATTACTGGGAGAGATTAGTTGAGCCTTCAATTCACATACAATGAAAGACTTACTTAATAGTCATCAATCCAATACCTGTCAAAATGCCCATCAAAGCAAACAATTGCCAAAATTCGATTGTTTTGAATAATTGGAATCCTCGAATATCTACACGATGAGCATGATCCTTCTTGTCAGTTTTGGCTACAGTTTCACTTGATTCTTCATCGGTTGATTTTGACATCAAGGAGGAGGTTTCGTCGATTTCGGACATAACGCCGTTCTCAGGTACCTCTGCCCCTATCACATGATGGTTTAGGATATGGTGATTGCCCGAAGACGCAAAGGATTGGGAGAACGTACCAGGTTCACCCTCCAAAGCATCTCTATCTTCTCGTCGCTTATTTTCCTCCGATTTTGTGCGATGCAGGCGATTTGAATCGGATCGATTGTGGCCGGGCAGGGCCGAGTAATGAGCATGTGGTATAACCCGAAGAAAAAAGAATCCTAGAAAGACTGTTCCACTTGTTCCACAAGCTAGAACTAACAGAAAATGACCCGCATCCCCTGGAAATGTAAATGCAGTGAACGCTGAAAAGAAAAATGCACTGAGTCCGAAAGTCGCTAGAGGAAAGGCTGTCGCAGTACCTCTGTTGTGTGGCCAATTAAGAGCTGAAGTTTTGATGGAAGCTGCGAAAGCAGAACATCCCCCGAGCCCAGTAAAGAATGAATAGAGACATAGTAGTGGTAGCCATCCGGACCCTTTATTATATGCTTGATATAAAGGAAAGTATCCGGCGGCGAGCAACAGCATTCCTAGTATTACAGCAGGTCGAGGTCCCTTTCCATCCACCAATAACCCAATTGGTATCCCACATGAATACATTCCCAGATTCCCAAATAGTCCCTATTTATATAATTAGCATGATATCAACAGCGAATGGCCGGCACGCTGTAAACTTACTATCAGATTAATCTGTGTTGACGATAACTTCAATCTATCAGCGAATTGCGGACCCCAATTGGAGAAAGCATAGTTCGTTCCACATGCCAATGCAATGCATGTTGCTGCGACACTCGACACTATTCTCGCTGCTTGTAATGGTTGTTCCGGCATATTCGACGACTACTCCGTTATCGTTGTGGTAAAAGGGAGGTTTGGATAGCTTCACCTCTTGATCATCGCAAAGTTCAAACAAACAAAGGGTATATATGCTGGCTTAAAATGGGAAAATATGTCTTGTGAATGAGAGACAATGATTTCCTAGGTGTTTCTAGGTGAAATCCGTGTAATTGTTTGTCATGAAATTAAAGAGAATCCTCTTGATGTCGTCTACATACACGTAAGTCCGTTATCAGTAACCCAGCTCCTTATGCCTCCTCTCCTTATCAGCTTCACTTACGGTGTATCTTATGAACCATTACCGCACTAATGCAGGTTGTCTGAGTCGTTTTCATCAGCCGCCGCGGATCATAAGGAGCCGAGTCCTTGGCCGTCCATTACCATCATCAATCAATCAATCTCAAACCTCCAACGTTATTCATCAACTTTTTATGGTCAACTGTTACCCATACTTACTTGCATGAATAATATTTGAAGAGACTCTGGGATCATTTTATCAACAATTTTATCACTGCGGCTTTAGCAGAGCGCAAATATGGGCGCTTTACTATCACTTCCTTTGTTGGCTGTGCCAAGCATGGGCACTGTGAGTTTACCTACTGGACTTTGATATGAAGAGATTGCTTATATGATTAGGTGATGGGTTTCGCTGCAAGTTGTTGTGGAGCAGCGACATGTTCTGCCGTATGCAGTGCTTGTGGGAAGTGTGGTAACAGGTATATCCTCAAATTTGAACATGTTTTATGACAAGAACTGATTGTTGAATAGTGTTGCCACTCGTATCGCATACGCCCTCATCCTCTTGATCAATTCGATATTATCATGGATAATGCTAACGCCATGGGCGATTAATAAATTACAAGGCTTGACGTTGGATTATATGAAGATCAGTTGTCCAGAGGGAGAATGTTATGGCTGGGTTGCGGTTCACCGGATTAATTTCGCACTTGGAATTTTCCATCTCATAATGGCATCAATGCTACTAGGCGTCAACTCTTCGAAGAATCCTCGAGCAGCTATACAAAATGGTTTCTGGGGCCCGAAAATCATCGCTTGGTTGGGCTTTATCGTACTTACTTTCTTGATTCCAGATGGATTTTTTTTGGTTTGGGGAAATTATATTGCATTCACTGGATCGACACTGTTCCTCCTCCTCGGACTTATTCTACTAGTAGATCTTGCGCATACTTGGGCGGAATATTGTCTTGAACAGATTGAGGCTTATGATTCTCGAGCTTGGAGAGGCATCTTGATTGGATCGACATTGGGCATGTATGCATGTTCGTTGGCGATGACCATCGTTCAATACATTTTCTTCGCTGGTGCTGGATGTTCAATGAACCAAACCGCTATCACCCTCAACTTGATCTTTTTAATCATTGTCTCTATTGTTTCCGTCCACCCTATGGTCCAAGAATTCAACCCTAGAGCAGGTTTGGCGCAATCAGCTATGGTGGCTATTTACTGCACATACCTCACCATGTCAGCAGTATCTATGGAGCCTGATACCAAGCATTGCAATCCTCTTATCCGAGCTCAAGGAACACGAACGACCTCCATCATCATTGGTGCAATCGTCACTATGTTCACAGTTGCATATACAACAACCAGGGCTGCGACACAAGGAGTTGCTTTGGGAGGAAAAGGAAAAAGAATCGCATTACCCGAAGATGATGAGCATGATCTCGTTACACAACAGCCGGATAGTCGCCGTGAAATGCGCGCAGCAGCCCTTCGACAAGCTGTAGAGGAAGGAAGTCTTCCTGCAGATGCTCTTTTAGACGATGATGACGAAAGCGATAGTGGAAATACTGCTAAAGATGACGAAAGGAACTCTACACAATACAGTTATGCACTGTTCCACGTAATTTTCTTCTTAGCAACCACCTGGGTAGCTACACTTCTCACCATGAACATGGATGAATATACAGATGGGAACACAAATTTTGCACCTGTGGGAAGAACATACTGGGCTTCGTGGGTTAAGATCGTTAGTTCATGGGTATGCTACGGCATCTATACATGGACCCTGATCGCACCTGTGGTATTGCCAGATCGATTCGATTTTTAGATACGGATACTTCACTTTGGTTTTTGTTGTTGGGCGGGTCTCATTGATAAATAGTACTGTATTGTATGCATATTGCATTTGTTCTTTCAAGCGTGAGAAGCGGGAATGGAGGTTGAATTCTGGAGATTCTGGGAGATTGGCGCACATTGTTATGTTTTAGCATTACCTACCTACCCACCTTTACATGGGATGGAATTGATATACCAAATATTTCGGTTACTGCATGCACTACATATTATTACTGCATGATCTCTTGTGTAAAAAGCCTTCGGTTTTCTTCTTTGGAGTATAATAAAGTGACATTAATAGTCACAGTTTAATCGAGTGATTTACGAAACAAGATCTGGGCCTTTGGAAAACAAATTCTCCGGATCATACTTTTTCTTCAACTCGGCAAGGCGGGGATAGTTTACCCCGTAAACCAATCTACCTCCTTCGTGGTTTGCTATTCGATGCATTAGTCAACATAGACCAATTTCGTACAGAGGAAAGATACTAAGGGATGTTGCTTTGAGGATATTGGAAAGGGAGGGGTTCGTTCCACGGCTCGCAAAACGCACAAGCGATATTCAAGAAGATAAAAGAATCGAGGAAAGAAAAAAAAAAAACTAAACTCACCACCGTCATAATTCGAATAAGCTCCTACCCCATCCTTCGTAATCTCATCCGTACCCTCCTTTAGCCGCCTCTCCAATTCCACCTTCGCCTTCTGTGCCATCATCCTACACCACTCTCTACACTTCTGATCCGTTTCCTCTTGCTCCCAACCCGCTCCAAGTAGTAAATTCCCATAGGCGCCTCTATTTGCAAAGGCCGTGTCTTGTTGACCTACTTGTAGAATTTTTCCAAAGGGGACGTATTCGAATACTACTAGCGTATGTTTCGCATCGGGGGTCTCGTTGAAGAATTTTTCTGTTTCCGAGAAGATTTCTGCGGCGAAAGGGTAGGTTAGTGGGAGCATACATGCGGCTCCTTTCATGTTGCGTCGGAATCCGTGGACCATTGGTTCGTTGATCATGCTGTTTACTTCTACGTAGTCCATTTCTTTGGTTGTGTTTGCTATGGGCTCGAGATCGAGAAGCGCTTTGTAGTATGCTCTTCCTTCTGCTTCGGTGCCGTTGTAGAACACAGGGATGAGGATGGCGGGTTGGAAGGCGGGGGGTGGAGCGGCGATTCCGAGGAGGAGGAATGCGCGTTCTTCGACGAGAGTCATGATTGTGTTGGCGAATGAGACGATAGCCTCTAATTTCTCGCGTGGAAAAATGAGCAGACCGCCCCAGACACGGTTGGGTTGGGGATGAAGTCGATAGGTAAAACTAGTCGCGACACCAAATCCAATACCGGCTCCACGGATTGCCCAAAAGAGATCAGGTTCTTGATATTCGGAACACGTTACGATTCTTCCATCGGCAAGAACAACCTCCGCTTCGAGGAGATTGTCAATAACCAAACCGTATTTGGGGGTTAGATATCCGAAACCACCTCCGAGGGTGAGTCCTCCAATTCCCGTATGGTTTACGGTGCCGCCGACGGCAGCGAGTCCATGGGCGAAGGCGGCGGTGTCGACATCGGACCAGAGACAGCCGCCTTGACAGCGAGCAGATTTGGTGACGGGGTCCACGATTACGTTGCGCATTTTGGAGAGGTTGATGGAGAGGCCATTGTGGGTTGATGAGGCGCCTGATGAGCCGTGACCACCACCGACGACTGGGACGTTGTTAGTTGTGGAATACTTGTGGGGGTGAAACTTTGCTATGGAAATAGGTGGCCGTTTAGATGGAAAGGAAAGGACTCTTAGATTGAGTGGATAAGAAGCGAAAGACGGGAAATCGATTTTCAGAGTACGCACCTGCAAATTCGAACTTATGTTCTTTGGCGAAGAGAACAATCTTGGAAACATCTTCGGAAGTAGTAGGAAAAACGACTAAAGCCTAGAGATGAAGTTAGAAAATATATAAAAGATATATCGAAGATTAAGAATGTGTAGAGAGTGACAGTTTTGAGATATCCCGCCTATGCTATCTCAATTCCCATGTGATACAACAAACCCCATAGACGACAGAACCTCCATATTTCAAAACCTCATACCTATTCCTCAACCATATAAGTCCAAGCCCCAATCGCCCAGCTATCCACTACCATTCAAATGGTGTCTCGTATACTCTAACAACAGACTTCCACCCTAATTCCTAACCCTAATCTCATAACCACAACTACAAACACAAGAATAAGAACACAAACAAACCCCTCCAAAAGCCCAAAACTCAAAAAACCAAAATAAAGGGAAGAAAAAAACCTACAGCCTTTCTTCTCCGCCGCTCTCGACCACCTCGCAATCCCCTCATCATACCCCTCATCACCCTTCAACAAAACCAGCGCCTCGGGACTTAAACCCGCCTTCAAATCTTCAACTAGTGGTGCTAGTAATCTCATTTTTTAGGTGTGAGTGTAAGTTTTGGATGATTCTGAGATATGAATGGAGAGTTTGTTTTGGAGTTTTGGATTAAGGTTGATATTTGATGTCAAATAAAGAGAGGGAGATGTGAAGCAGATGAAATATTTACGGGTTATAGAAAGAGGTAGAGGTGGAGGTAGAGATAAAGTTAGAGAAAGATAGAGTTAAGTTTAAGGTTATGTATCCTCTCCTCTCCTTTCCTTTCCTCCCATTGATTTGGTGCGGGGTAATTCTATACTCAGTACGGTAATGGGTACTTATTCGTTGTAACTATTTCAGCCGCAGCCCCCACCGCGGAGAGTCTGAGACATTTTGAGTACGTATATGCATATGTACTCCGTACGTAATTAACCTATTGATGCTAGGTGTGATGGATGTGACATGTCGTTACCTAGGTATATTAGGAAATGATCAGCGCTGCGTCTTCATCTTTCTGGCTTAACTTATCGTTGTGCATTTGGAAGTGGAGGTTGCCCATTTATAATTGTATAATCTTATATTTTCGTCAGCCTATTACAGATATATACCCAATAATGGTCAATTCAAATATTAAATGGGGATTGGATAAAGTGGGGAGTTTTAAGATAGATCAACAGTTTAATCTGAAATAAATAAAACAGATTAATTAAATGTATTATTTTAAATAATAATAAAAATTAAAAATTTTATTTAAAAAAATAAATAAAAATAAATCTTACTTTTATTCAGTTTATAGATTCTATTAATTAGAAATATATATATATATATATAAATTTAATATAATATTTCATTATATTTAAAAAGTATAATAATATAAAATTTTATAATTTAGATAACCCTAGTAACTTTTGATTAATCTGTTACGTTGGACAGTAACATAGGTCACGTTCTTGATCACATGATCAAGAAACCGACAAATCGAGATCGGCTTTGCGGTGATCGATTTGTCGGGCTCATAGCCATCGGTTTTTTTTAAGGAGGCACGAAGGTCTATATAATCAAGATGGATTTCCTTTGTATAGAGCTTCGTGCTCAAGATCAATCATTTAGTATACTCTACTATTAGTTACGAATAGCATATTATTATTGTCATTACTTTAAGTCCCTGCTTGACGCCTAGTTATAAACCACCTCGAGAGCCTAGAGCACTTCCACGTGATCTAGACGGCAAACCTCGTAACATAATCCTACCAGTATACATATCCAGAGTCCGGAGAGTAACAGAGAATAGATAATCTTTTGTAGATAAGTACTCCGTATATATTCATAATAGACATAAATACAACCCCTTTATAAATTAACTATTTTTTTAGTTTCCTATTTTCTGCCAAGTCTTACATCAATATGACATCTAGAACCCTACAAAAACCCCCAAGGAATCCTCCTCAACCTACAATATCCATCCATCCATTCATCCACCCACCGAGCAGAAAAGTATTCCAGATCCTCTGTAAAGCATAAACCCTCCTATATTCGGCCATATATAATTTGAGCCCAAGCACTCTGATGATCTAGAAGGGATAATTTATAATTATTATATCACTGTAGAAAATTGAATTAGATATGATAATTTTATTAGCTGTTATGGAGATCAATATCGATTTTGGGGGGGTATTGAGGAGAATTTTGAGGGAGGTATATATGTAACTTTTTGCAAATGGTAATGAGAGATGATGAGAAAGTTAAGAGATCAGGACCTAATTATCAAATATGGATGGGTAGATATAGTATGTATCAATTCATTGATTCCAAAACAGGCTATTTTCTTTTAGCTTTTCAACAAGTCAACGACGGTGAGCTTCACAAGTCGAAAGTTCGATATAAAATAGATCAATATTGATTCCATAATAACCATCACCTTTTTACTACCGTATTCCAGATCTTCGCAGTGTACTTAAAATCAGAAATATCAGTAATAGATTTCCTTTCCGTTTTCAAGATATTGCTTTTGTCAAAACCTGACCAAATGAAGAAACTTTACTACATCCTACGTCTGCATTTCTCCTCAAGAAATACCTCGTCCACCATCTACCTCCAAGCACGTACCCGTGATGAATTTTGCCTCATTACTGGCAAGGAATAAACAATAATTAGCCACATCTTCCGGAGTACAAAGACGACCTAATGGCACATTGAAGAGAAATTTGTCACGATTTTCCGAAGTATCATCCATTCCCGTGAATGTAGAGAATCTGCGGAGTATTAGTAGATGTAAAATTAGAAGGTTAGAGATACATACAGGCCAGTACCAGCGAGTAGTGGACATATAGAATTGATTCTAATGTTCTTGGGTCCGTATTCTGCCGCGAGTCCTTTGGTAGCCTTTCGTGTTGTTAGAAATGCCATTCAACATACAGGTGAAATGCTCACATTGACAACGGCAGCTTTACTGGCGTTATACCAAACAAGACCTGCTCGAGGTCTTGAAGCCCCAATCGATGCGATGTTAATCATCGATCCACCTTCCCCTTGATTGATAACATTTGGAATGAAGTGTCTTGTTGCGTAGAAGATGGATTTAACATTAACATTAAAAACCTTGTCAAATTCATCTTCGATGACATCCAAAGTTGGCTAATCTCATATCAGTCTGATACATCGATCCTCATCTCCATCTATATCTCACAGCCACCAAACCACGAAATAGCCCATGATACCACTCACCTTATTCCTGTAGCTCGTCCCAGCATTATTAACACAAACATCCACTCTTCCCCACTTAGCAAGTGTCGTCTCCAAAACTCTCTCCCAATCTTCCTCATTCGTCACATCCATCTTCACAAAAAGCATACTATGGGGATGAACATTCGCAACACGTTCACCACCAACAGCATCAATATCTGCAATCGTCACTTTACAACCTTCTCCCGCAAAACGACGAGCGATGGCTTCGCCAAAACCGGAACCACCACCCGTGACAATGGCAACTTTGTTCTTGAGACGACTACCGAGAACTTTTGGTTCGGTGGTTGGCGGCATTTTGATGACGTGCGTTTTGTAGAATATTACTGGATACTTGATACAGGTAAGAAGGAGGGAAGGAGTGTGATGAGTGGTAACGGCGACACTTGTTCGAATCGAATATTGAAGCTCGACTTGACAATTTATCAAATATTATTATGGAATGATGAGACAAATAAATAAGCTTCTAAATATCATGTCCTCAATTGATCAGCAGGATCGACAGTTTTAATACTCGTTGCATACGTCGACGTACAGATGAAGGTGCGGGGGATAGGAATGAGGGGTAATTAAGTGTCACGGGACTTCTTGATTGGCTGAGTCACACCACAACTTCGAGTACATTGCGAAACCTACATGGCACTTTTCTTTGTTTTTATCATTCATAAATTTAGGTTCGTGTGTACGTAGTAAGATTTTTTACGATACGATTTTCTGGTCATTGAATAGTTACCAAGTCTTCTATCTAACCGAGTTGGCTTCAATAGGGGAACTTAAGAATATGAGATCTTTGGTCTGAGCATTAGATGCTCCTGCTCCTGATTCATATTTATGTTTCATGTCAATTCGATTAATGTCAAGCAAATCTTTAAAGAGTCCAAAGTTTGCACTTGTGCTCGTATAAAATCTAGGATAACTAATTTTAGCAAAGGCACTCTTAGTAAGTATGTGATTTATATCAAGCTCCCTCCCACTTACCAGTCAGTCTTAAAATTCCCCCTCCAAATCCAGACATCACCATACCCTTTTCTTTCCACCCATTCATCCCCATACAACAAAATCACAAACCCTCCCAAACGGAAATCCCCAAGCAAATAACCTCATAACATATTCAGAGGCAGTATTATCAGCATTAAGTAAAACATAGCCAATTAGCCAGCCATCAAGTAAGTAAGTACTATTCATAACGAAATCCCTTACATCCATCTCCCTTCCAATACTAATCAACTAGATACCCACCTACGCAGCATCTAAATCCGAATCTTCAAGAACAGTCAACTTGGTTACACACCGAGAGATTTTGTCATAATGAAACATAAGATATCATCAACAACGGGTCCGGTTCGTGTAACTTTCGTGGCTACGGGTTTATTATAATAAATAGTTAATATATCAAAATACCCATGGAAATCCAATCATACCATCTATCCTCACACTTCCGCATCTTTTTCCTTCGAAGAAAGATGAAAATGAAAATTCAATCACGAGATGACTGGTGCACGAACACTGAAAAGTTTGTAGAAAAAGACGAAAGAAGTAGAAGGGCACAGGTGCAAAGAGGGAAAAGCCAGCAACGTGGACAAGAAGTGTAGACAGCAAAAATAAGAGACGACGAGCATTAGAATTTGACGCGAAGCCACTAGTCAAAGAGAAATTGTAGTTAATTATTGCTCCTTTAATCGGGCGCAGGAGCTTTAAAAAATATATAGGGTTAGCGAATGCGAGAGCTTGCGATATTACCTAGTAACAGTTGAATAAGTAAACGAACTTGGATGTCTCCTTACATTTACTTCTTCAGTATACGAGTATATGTATCATATAATTTCCGAAAATCCACAGTGTGTGAATAAACCGAATATCAAGAAACATGCTACGATGAAAAGCCAGAAACAATATGTGTTTCCTTGCATGAACCTCCTCAGTATACGGGTATATGTAAGTTTCACCATACAACATCCGAAGATCCGACGTGTGTGAAGAGACCTAATAATATCGAGAAATATACTGCGATAAAAAGTTAGAAACAATAATGTGTTCCATGTAAATCCTATTATGGAAAATCTCAAATAAAACTCGATTGTATCCCCCTAGCATGCTGCATTGCATCGCTCCCAGTATTATCCACTGCTGCCGAGCTATTCAACATATTATTCTAAAAGATGAGTAATTATCGTTCAAAGCAGGAATGAAGCCAGACATGCCATGTGATCATATCACGCTCGAAGCATATCCGCACAAAGAACGCACAAACGAGAGCTAAATAATGCAAGGTTTCTCAGATAATAGTGTAATTATCGCGAGTAGTATAGGCAACCAGATAGCTAAGAATATCGAAATAGCAGTAGTTTGACTTGATATCGAGATTCAGATTATCTCCAGCATGACACAATTTATTTCTACTAAATCTCTTTCCCCCATACATAGATCGTAGAAAGTAGCGACGTTGAAGGGTTCATGCAGGAATTTTGACTCTCGGTGAATCTGGTATACTCCTTATCCATTTACTCTTTTAAAGGGAACTGCTACTAAACGAAAGGTATGCTTGCTCTGAGGGTTTGAATGAACTTGCATACTCAAGATGACGAAGACAGAGGGAAAAAGAAATTCCGGAAAGGTTTAACCTCAAAAAACATTCCAAAATGTCAGAATCATCATGAATGCGTCTCCCGCTTGGAATTTGTACTTTTTTTTCTGACAGAGCATTTGCAGTAAAATGAGCCATAATGAGAGATATGCTAAAAAGATATGAATGAGAAGCTAGGAATTTTGCCGGAAGGAAGATTGGAAGGATTTTGTAAATATTGCAATCTAGCCTTCTCATCACTCTTAGAATATTTCAAATGATCTGCATATTTTGAGATATGCAACACAGAGAATAAACTATTCAATATGCGTTACTAACCCTTTTGTCATAGGATCTACAAAATAAGATATGCAACAAACACAATGGACTGTTCTTTAAGGTCCAGTATGTCAAATATGCATTACCATCCCATCTATCATAAGGTTTCAAAAATTAGACATGCTATAAAGACAATGAATTGTGCTTCGAAATGCTGCAAAAAATGTAAGATGGATGTGAGTAATCCCCCTATTCAGAGATCAACAAGAAAAATTTGCAATAAGCACAACCTGGTTGCGCTTGAACATGCTGCTATTGATGTCTTAATAAACTGTAAATGATCAAAAACCTTGAGATGGGCAACAGAGCTCCAAGGGATGGGCTGCAAAATGCTGCTCTTGGTGTTATACGTATGTACAAGATGATAGACCGCTTCCAATATCTTCTCTTTCGCTTTGACTTGAATTATTATCGTGGCTATTCAAGCTGGATTCGAGGCAGAAATATTGTTTCTCAGACCCCTTTTCGAGAGATCACCTCCATTCCTCGTGGTGGGTACCGGTAGACTTTGAGATCTGCGGCGAAGATCATCTGTAGAAAACTCTCAAATGATTTTCGCAGATAAAACTTGGCACCTAATAAGCTTGTGGGCCATCCAGACAAAATTCCAATTTGTGAGAGCAAAAGAAAAAAGGAACCTTCTCGTTCCGTTATGGTACAGATGGATAAATCTTGTATATCAACGGAAAGCCTTGAAGTCGAGTTCATGCGAGGCCCTATCGCGGATGCGTCGCTTGGACAACATTGCACAGTGTGCTGCTGGTGCATTTCTGAGTTCTGACTATAGTGATTGGGAGTTTTAGTCGAGCTTAACTTGATATAGTTGTGCGAATAATTATCCAAAGGGCTGAAATTGGATTGTTCCAGCAAAGCGAGTAAGTTATCTCGGTATGTTGATCTCGATCGATCTGGGTATGGATATGCAACCTAACCGTGTAGGCATTTGAAAAGGCTTCCCGAGGTTGATGCGATTCGGTATAAAACCGGTACACATTTCCCCGCCGTCCGTTCCGGTAACCTCAGGTCAAAACTTCTACTCGCACGGTAATGGAGTCAACTATGTACCTAGTTGTCTCGCACCCCTTTGAAAGAAGTACAGATGAAAGAGCCTAGACTCAAAGAAAAGCTGCCGTTGACTGAGCTCAACACACCACACGGAGCATGGCCCAAGAGTTTGTGGAACCGGAATCAGCCAATCATAGTGAGATATTTGATATCATCGGAGTTTGAGTTTTCCATACCGAAGAGTATCGAGAAATGAGAATGCTGTGTTTTGGCCGCGGGAATGTCAAATTGATCAAACAGCTACACTTATTACCTATTCATAGACCAATCAGTGCATTACTGCGCCTATCGCATGCGTATATCCTTATGTAGGGCGATTGTGAGTTAATGAACTGGTCTGGGACACTTGTTCACTCACAATCTCCATCTTTTGATTGTACGGCAATGTGCACCGTGGGGGAATGATGCAATGTTCTTAGGCATATTTTTCAAGGTTCTTTCTCAGAAAACGGAATCCCTCAAGTCTTGATGGAAGACGAGAATAATGAGGAACGTTATTCCATCATGTGTACAATTAAAATATACTGTATGGCCTTTTTCATTCTCGAGAAAAGCATAAAATATATTTGAGCGCCCGTTCAGCAGATGTGTTGTCATGTCTATCTTGCTTTTCTTTAGGTTATTTGATCGATCGACCGAATTGAAGGAAAAGATGGTTTTTCGTGAATAAAAAGTGGGAGATAGATCCCTTAGGATGACGTCAGTGGTGCTTCTCAAAAGTTTCGAATCTGGGTGTGTACCTTGAAATTGATCTAATGCCGCCCTAGCTAAAATATCCATCTTCGATCTATCAGACCAAATTTTGATCAATTCTCTCCAACTCCCGCTTTTCAATATAAGGTACTCACTCGAGTACCCGCTTTAGGGAGGAGAGAAAGGATCAAAAAGAGCGAGATGTGTATCAGTCTATGCCTGATAAATCGATAAACTTGCCAAATATCTATATATTTGCATCCTTTACAATGTCCAGGGCTCCTTGGGCCACTATTTAGGTAAGAAGGGTATCCTGGCCCTCTATTGTTTGAGTCTGCTGTTACCTCTTCAAGCTACTACCTCTAGTCTACCCGGTCTAGGCCTAATGTCGTTCACATCAATCCATCAATTCAGCTAGAGATTGAAAAAACGGCAAAAAAACAGCAATGGGCGGCTGGACATGCAAAGCAGGAAATCTTGCATTGCTGATGGTAATTAACATGCTGTACTATGTTGGCTGTCTATCCACTGTCAAATGTCCAAAAGTGTATATAAAGTTAGCTTCCCCTCTCTTGAGTAACGATCATCCATATCTTGATTCCAAATTTGGAGGAGTAAAAGAGAGATTCGATTCATAACCTTCATTGAATGAAGAAGATATTCTGTCTATTAAAGAACGAGACAATTGTTCATCTAATAAATCTATAAAACATACTTGACGCTCCTTCCTCAAAGTCACCAGGTTACGATTATCAGGATTACCGGCAAAATACGAAAGAAATACTACTACTTACTGTCTGTATATATCGATTTGTATACATACCTAGATAGCGAAACAGCTTGGGTGCACAGAAACGAAGCCCACAAACATTTTCGCACATTCAGACGTTCACTGCCAACTACTGTGTTTAGTCCATCCAACGGTCCAAGGAATACCTCAAGGCCAAGTTGTGTCTAGATCTCGGTCGGACCTTTCATCCAAATCCAAAATAAGTCAGTCAGTCCAATATCGCAAAAGCGGCATTCGCTTCGTACCTATTTGTATTTGTATTTGTTATTTTTGGTGGTGGTACCAGGGACTCCATAGAGAGATTTAAAGGTAAAGCTCGATTCACGCTGCTTTGCTACTACTTATCACTCCCCCCAAGACAAGGAAATTATTTATTGACTGACTGAACTTTACCATTATTTTAGGCGACATTCCCACCCCCCATTTCAAAACTATCCTGCAGTCTCTTTCTCTATAATTCATCCCACTCACTACCAAACCGCCACGCGAAATTCCGATTCCAATTCCGCTCACTCACTCACTCACTCACCCACCTACATACACACATCCTCTCTCTCTCGCAACTAACCTTCTTTTCTTACAAAGAATTCACTTCCTCATTCCTACCAAAATAATCCTTCTTTCCCCTAAGATATTACTTTTCAAAAGAGATCACACAATTCAAAATGGCTGAATTCGTTAGAGCTCAGATCTTTGGGACAACCTTTGAGATTACTTCCAGGTACGCGGGGCTCAAACAACTCGAACAAAATGACAAGAAAATCGTCAAATTGTTGACCACTCCTTCGCCACTATAAATATTGATCCTTTGGTGATACAGGTACTCTGATTTACAGCCGGTGGGCATGGGCGCATTTGGTCTCGTTTGGTATGATAATTCCTCCCATTTTTATCCTTTTTGTGACCAAATCTTCAATTGAGGGGTAAAATGATCACTTTTCCTCAACAAACACTAACTTTTCTCATTTGCACAGCTCTGCCAAAGATAACCTCACCGGTTCAAATGTCGCGGTTAAAAAGATCATGAAACCATTTAGCACACCAGTCTTATCCAAGAGAACTTACAGAGAACTGAAGTTGTTGAAACATCTCAAGCACGAGAATGTACGTTTCATTGCGATACCGCAGATATAAAATAATGGCCGGCCCTGGAAATACTAAATGTCTACAGGTTATCTCGCTCAGCGATATCTTCATTTCCCCTCTTGAGGATATGTATGCAGACTCCATCAAGTTTAAGGGATTTTAGACTGATAACATTCAAGCTACTTCGTCACCGAACTCCTTGGCACAGATTTACATCGTTTGTTGACCTCGCGACCACTCGAGAAACAATTCATTCAGTACTTCTTGTATCAAATCTTGGTATGTCATCTTGTCTCGGTTGCGCTGTATTACTGCAGAGAATCAGGCTAACGTTACTCCCAGCGTGGATTGAAATACGTTCACTCTGCAGGAGTCGTTCATCGTGATCTCAAGCCAAGCAACATCCTCGTCAATGAGAACTGCGATCTTAAGATCTGCGATTTCGGTCTTGCTCGTATTCAAGATCCTCAAATGACCGGATATGTCTCTACAAGATACTACAGAGCACCAGAGATTATGCTTACATGGCAAAAGTATGACGTGGAAGTTGATGTTTGGAGTGCGGGATGCATTTTCGCAGAGATGCTGGAAGGCAAACCTTTGTTCCCTGGAAAGGATCATGTCAACCAATTCTCCATCATCACAGAACTCCTCGGAACACCACCAGATGATGTTATCCACACCATCGCCAGTGAAAACGTGAGTAATTGTGTATGGACAACGGGATATAGCTGATAATAGTTCAGACCTTGAGGTTCGTGCAATCTCTACCAAAACGTGAGAGACAACCTCTTGCAAACAAGTTTCATAATGCAGATCCATTAGGTACGTCTCTAGCTTTGACTTCAGTTCTATTGCAACCCTCATTGACCTATTCTAGCCATTGATCTCCTCGAGAAAATGCTGGTTTTCGACCCCAGAACGCGAGTTAAGGCAGCCGAGGCGTTGGCACATGATTACCTTTCTCCTTACCACGATCCTACCGATGAGCCAGTGGCAGAGGAGAAGTTTGACTGGTCATTTAATGACGCAGACCTTCCAGTGGACACCTGGAAAATCATGATGTACGAACAACTTTTCGATTACCAACAAAAATAGATCATCTGCGTTCATCTGCAGAAGTATTGGTTTATCGAGCGCATCCGACGGACCAAGATAGTAGAACTGACTTGGAATGTTATGCAGGTACTCCGAGATTCTTGATTATCATAACGTCAACGACGCCCAAAATCTGGTGGATGGTCAGTAGACTTGCATCTGTTTTTTCGATTAAATATGGTTATCAAAGGTGTCGCCTAGGTACAACTTTCAGTATGGGATGGTTACACAATTATGGGATGGCTGGTTAGGAGTGTTCTCTGGTGCTTTCTGATGTCGCGCAACGCAACGCAGCTCCTGGCGGGAATCGGCTTATTTCCCCTTTCGTCTCCTGGCGTACATACTGCCACCCCTGAAACTTACTTTGTCGAAGTTTCTGAAATATACATCTTTCCTGCCCATGGTTTATTGGATTGTGTACGGCTTGACTGGAGCGATGGGATGGAGAGAGGTGTTTTGCACGCAGTAGAACAATGAATTTCTTTCCGCAAAAGTTGTACTTAGATGATTGGGCGAGTAAGGTTTTTGGCGTTTTAATGGACATAGAGGATGTATGAATTACGATTATAATGATTGGGCTATGTCACACCATGTTCCTGGACGTGATAATGTTTGACTGAATGATCTTCACCATGATTGGATAAGAATAATCCATTATACTGTGACCTGAAGAAGAATGTCTTCGCTGTAATGAAACCCAGCTGACACAAATGGAGACCAAGAACTGCCCAAGCACTCCCCAAGACCTATCAATACGAATCTAGGAATGACAAGTGACAACCTCAGAACATGCAATACACTTGATCTCACCTCATCATGTGACCACAACAGACTCCAAGTCGGCTATCTTCTCGATCCCTGTACGCACAGTAAGCATTGAAATGGATGCGACGTATTGGATAATAAGTTAGTGGATGTTTGTGGCGTACACAGAGTTGCAAGGATGATCTTTTTCCTGGACTTATTCGCTGGCCTTGCAGACTGAATTTCAGGTGGGATGGATGAGGGGAGGTGTGATAGAAAACTGGGTGATGGTACTGCGGCATTGTGGTTAGTCATTTTAAAAGTGGAAGTTTTATCGTAACCGCAGTGATTTCAAATTGAATTGTTGCGGCAAGCAAAAACAAAGGCAAGTTTGATGGGTGAACATATCGATAAAGTTGCGATAACCTTGCTCCAGCCTCATTCGGAGGCTGAGAAATTGATTCTGGAAAACTTCTGGAATTCTTCTGGAAATTGCGATTCAAGATTGGGCCGACTTTGATACGGATCGTCACAGTTAATTTATCAGAGGGGTAAGGCTCATTGCGTTTCGCAATATCGAAGCCCGGGAGGGAGCATTGGCCAGTTATTAATTGCGAACGGAGCGGGTAGATCTACGCTGGGGAAAGGAGAAGAAGATCGATAGGAGGAGACGCAACGAGTCAATAACGATATACCAAAAACCCACGAGACGAATTGATCTTTTGAGAGAGGGAGTCAACAGAGCAATATAAAGTTGGAGGTTTGAAATGAAGATCTAAGGAATATGATGTTTTGATTACAAGAACGATTACTCTACTTTGTTTACTCGAAACATCGGAGGCTCGAAGAACAAGCAGAAGCAAGCATTGTCGAATAGACGGAACGAAAACGATCCAAAAACGATATCAATATTTACCTACCTAGTCACACATCTACCTACCTGTTGACCGTCTACTCGCCGTTGATTCAAGAGACTGAAGGAGGGACTCAGGGAGGCCTTTGGTTGCCTTTTGTTGCCTTTAACTTTTAGCCTTCAGGCCGTGATTTCTGTGAGAGGGACTCGAGACAAAGTGCGGCTCCGGATTGGTACAACGTATCGAAGGTCGATTAACTATAGCTTGGGCGAGAAAATAGAAGAGAGCCAGGCGCACTGGATGGAGAATATTGAGAGAAAGGACGGGGATGAGGAGGTACCGGCGGGGGGGAGGAAAGGGTTTGTGCCGTTGGTTACGGTGGTGGATTTTCACCATGCGAGGTATGTGTTTTAGTGTTGCTTGAGAGGGATGGCGGGAATAAGAATGAAGGGCTTGAGGCGGAAGTGAGGAATAATGGCTAACCTAAGTTTTTATTAGAGGACCAGAAGTCGAATATTGGTTTGGGGCAGAAGAAGGAACTGATCCTGCGGTGGAAAATGAATGGCCTTTATTGCCGTTCATGGCTTTGAGTGATGGAGCGCATGCGTAAGTTGCTATTTTCTGATTTTGCACATATGAGAAAGAAGATCTGAGGCTGACGGGTAATCATAATGGCAGATCAACAGAAGACTTTTCATATTTCACGCTCCTACGGCCTGCGCGGGAAAACCTACCTCCCACGTCTTTATTCGGTATCTCCTGCACACAACAAATGGACGCTTCAATACTGCGCAACCGTCCTGCAGACGTAACTCGATCGACAGTACAAAAGGCTGTAGTTGTGATAGCCGATTCGCCCCAGTTTTTTGGGATGTTGAGAGAAAGATTGGGAGTTGTTACGAAGGCTTGGTTTGCACAACGAGAATTTACAGATACGGAGATATTGAGGAGGTTTCAAGAGAGTCTAGCAGAGGAGAAAAGTAGAGGGGAATTGGGAGATAGGGAGGAGTACTTAGGAATGAGTTTGAGGGAATTGGTCAAGGAGTTTAAGTGGCAGACTTTGGTGCTTTTTAAATGTTGTCTGCTGCAACCGAAGGTAAATTCCCCTCCTCTGGTGCGCTTGATAGATATTGACTTGAGGTATAGATGTTATTCTTTGGTACGAGATGCGAGAGATTATGCATGATGCAGTTCTCACTCATATCTCTCATACCGGGTCTGATACGGAATTTACAAGATTGTGCCGATCCGGAATTGGATGATTATAGGAAAAATCTTGTGAAACCGACGAGTCTGAAAACGAGCGATAGAACTTCGTTGTTGAATTATATGGGATTACCTTTGCAAATATTTGGCAAGGTATGGACCACTTCACAGTCCCTTGGTCAGCTGTTTTACTAATTGGATATATAGGGGAGTCTTTTTGGTCCTTATACCCCTTTACAGCAACTTGATATATTAGCGGATTACGGCACAAAATCATATATCGTTGGTTCAACGAATTCTTTACTTTTACAACAGAGAGATCGATATAGCGATATTCTCATTAATCTAGATGAACTCACAATTAATATCACATCGGCATCACTGAGGTCCGCATTAGCACTCTCGGCGGCCGATCGACGCTGGATTGATTTCATTACCCAAACCGTCAATGACACTTGGGATGAATCGAATCCAAGTCGACCTAAAACTATGGGCTATGTCGGCTCCGAAGAATTTATTCGCATGCAATTTGAAGAATACCTCCTTTCCCTAATCTCCTCTGTCAAATGTCACAACTACCTCACAGTCAACGCTCACAACCCAAGAGCTCAGCTTCCACAGGTCGACGGAGATCCTGCTTATGATTTCAACATGGATTGGATAGAAGCATGGACACGAAGCGAAAATTATGAAATTTGGAATAATCATACGGATTCACATCTTTTCGACATCGTGGAGCCTAAACATCCTTGCGCAGGTGGTCTTACGATAGATGATGTTCAAAGACGCATTGCTGAACAAGTCAAGGAAATGCATCTTGATGAAAGGTTTGCGGTAGGTAAGGAAGTGTTGGGAAGAAATCTTGCTGCGGGAAAAGAAAAGGCTAGTACAGTCTTCAATAAATTGTACGCGGACATGGAATCCTATCGAGAGAGTCAGAGGAAAAGAAACGAAGAGGCTAGGATTGCAGCCGAGAAAGCGGCGACTGCAAGTGGTGCATCAAGTCCAGTGGCCAGTCAAACGGATTTTAATGGACCAAAGTCGCCGTCAGTGCAAAGTAGAGCGGGGGCTTACATAGGAAGCTGGGGTACGTGGATGGGAGAAAAGAGAAAGGCGGGATGGGGGAGGAGTTCGGGTAGTCAGGATAAGATACAGCAAGTTACGAGTAACGGGAAGAGGAATTCGAGGGGGTTCTTTGGAAAGGAAAATATTCACGTGGTGGATGGGGGAAGTGGGGGGGAGAGGAGCCCACTCAGTCCAAGGGATTCACAGGGTGGATATTCACCGTTGGGTGAGAGACCGAGGACAGCTGAGAGTTTTAAGGAGAGTATTTTTGATGCAGAGTTGGAGGCGAATGGGGCTGGGGAAGGAGATGTGGATGGATATCGAAAGGTGGACGTGGTGGAGAAGATTAGTGATGCGCCTCCAAGGGTTGAAATTCCGGGATATTTCTCGAGGTTTCGTGAGGATATGGGAAATAAAGAGAGAAAAGATCACGATGATGATAGCGATAGTGGTGAGGAGGAAAGGAAATCGATCTTACCTGTATCGAGCGAATCAAATGTTTGGGACGATGAAAGAAATGGGGATGCAGATAAAGATAAGCATGAGAGGGCGGAAAGAGTAGCAGAGGCCATGCAGGAGGCGGTGGATTCTTCGATTCATTCGTAGGTTTGTTTGTGGTAATGGGATAGAGTGGCAAGGTGGTATTCTTTGGACTTGGTCATGTTTTGTTTTGGATTGATTGGTTGGTTGGTTGCCTGGTTGGTTGATTGGTTGAATGAATGGTTGAATGAATGGATGCTGAGTTTTGGTGTTGATATTTTAGGTAGAGAAGGAGATTTGATTTTGCTGCTGTGTAAAAGAGGATTTGGAGAGGGCTTGGAGTGATTGGTGCAGGAGGGAGTAGGGTGGGAATGCATGGGAGTAAGATGGGTGGAAAATCACGGAACCTGGAGGTGCAGGTGGAGGGGAATATATCACTTACTTTTACATTACAACACAGTACAATCCGATACGATACACGTATACAATACATTGAATGGAATATATTTAATATTGACTTTGGTATTGAGAAGAAAGGACTCTGGTTGAGTTGAATGAATATCTACTAGCTATTCTGTGTAAGACTAACTTAATTAGGTTTTGTGATTTTTAGTAGAAGGTTAGGTATTTATCTCCTAAATCGGATTTGGGGTTTAGATCGGATTTGGAAGTTGCTTCGATTATGTTGGTAGATAGATGGGTAGATGGGAGGACTTGAAAGTATGTGTGCTTACCTAATAACTGTCCTTAGTCATGTCAAACCGTACAATTGGACTCGGGATCTCGGAAGATTGATACAGATTTGGCGCTTAGATTTAAACTCCTGGCGGACTTTGACGCCTTACCGTAACTCCACCTGGCAATGGCGCTCGCTGTACAAGGCTATAATAAGGCATCTATGCATCACGCTTTCTGTGCACGGCAGCCTGCTTCATTCATACTCTACTGAAATCACGAATTCTCACCAAGGGCGAATGAGAAAAGAAGCTGACATACAATACAGTATTCACCTTTTTCTTAATTTATCCAAACATCTCCCCAAGGGAATGACAGTACTTACCCATGAGCCGTAGATAATTATTTTGAACGGTTCCAAGTTTTACGGTATCCTATTTCTTCTAGTTTATATTGTGGATAGTTCCCTTCCACTAATATATTATCCTTTACATCATCTTCCAACACAACCATCGTCCAGATTACAACCCACCACTACTTGAACTCCATCCTCGACCTTAGTAATAACTCCTCGGACTTGGAGTACCTTTTGCATCACAATCTGTGATTTATCACAAAGGTGCTGATCTGGCAGCCGAAATTATACAACACAAACTTGTCTCGACTCTCCTTCAAGTAGCTGGCTTAATTCCACTGGTTCCTGACCCATTTCGAATTTATTTCAACTCAACACAACACAATCCTTATCTTTTCATCACGTTCATTGAAAATACTCAAGATGACGGTAGCTACCAGGACGGTTGTTATGCCGCCAGTCCCAAATCGGGAGGACTTAGATGCGACGTTCGTACTTGATCTTTCCAACTCCCCTCGCCCCCTCGATCTTATTGTATTCAACATGCTAACTATGAATTTCTGCGACTTAGATGGAAATACCTCGAGGCTGGAGTATCGAAGGTCATGCTACAATTGGCAGATGGTGTTGATATGACTACTGTAGGTGCCCTCTCTCCAACCTTTTCCATTCATGATGCGCATTTACTGACTTTTGACCTATAGTATATGGGAGTATACACGTAAGCACTCCGATATCCAAACTCTGACAGCATCTTCTAACCCTTACAATAGAGCCGTTCACAATTTCTGTACATCACAAAAGGCAGTCAGTAGTGCTGGCCCAGGAGTTATTGGAGGCGCGCATCGTGGAGGTGAAACATACATCATTCCAATTACAATACAAACATATACTCATACATATATAGCACATCTTCTTGGCGAGGACTTATATAAAAACCTCATCTCCTATCTAACACAGTATCTCAAAGAGCTCGTTCTTGCCTCTAAAACACATGTCGATGAAGCTCTCCTTAGTTTCTACATTCGAGAATGGGACCGATACACGACAGCAGCAAAATACATCAATCATTTGTTTCGATACCTCAATCGCCATTGGGTCAAGCGGGAAATGGATGAGGGGAAGAAAAATATCTACGATGTTTACACTCTACACCTTGTTCAATGGAGACAAACTCTATTCCAATCTGTCCACGAAAAGGTCATGGATGCTGTTCTCAAAATGGTCGAAAGGCAAAGAAATGGCGAGACTATCGAGCATAATCAAATCAAGGCCATTGTCGACTCCTTTGTGTCACTTGGGTTAGATGAGGCAGATCCTACTAAATCGACCCTCGACGTCTACCGATTCCACTTCGAGAAGCCATTCTTGGCAGCCACCGAGGCATTTTACAGAGCCGAATCGAAACAATTTGTTGCGGAAAACAGCATAGTGGAATATATGAAGAAAGCCGAAATTCGATTGGACGAAGAGGAAGAGCGCGTTAGAATGTACCTTCACCAGGATATCATCATCCCATTGAAGAAGGCATGTAACACTGCTCTTATTGCAGACCACTCCGTCATTCTTCGAGACGAGTTCCAGGTTCTTTTGGACAACGACCGATACGAAGATATGGCACGTATGTATAATTTGTTGGCAAGAATTCCTGATGGTCTCGAGCCGCTCCGTACCAGATTCGAGGCCCATGTTCGCAAAGCTGGTCTTGCAGCAGTTTCGAAAGTCGCTAGTGAGGGTGATAAACTCGAACCTAAGGTTTACGTCGACGCTCTTCTTGAGATTCACACACAATATCAAGGTCTTGTTAAACAAGCCTTTAAGGATGAGCCGGAATTTACTCGATCTCTTGATAACGCTTGCAAGGAGTTTGTCAACCGCAATGAAATCTGCAAATCTGGATCGAATAAGTCACCTGAATTGCTTGCCAAATACGCTGATTCGTTGTTAAAGAAGAGTGCCAGCGGAGCTGAGGAGAGTGATATCGAAAACTCCCTCACACAAATTATGACAGTCTTCAAGTATATTGAGGACAAGGATGTGTTCCAGAAGTTCTATTCACGTATGCTTGCTCGAAGATTGGTCCATACTAGCTCTTCATCGGATGATGCCGAGACAAGTATGATCAGCAAATTGAAGGAGGCATGTGGATTCGAATATACCAACAAACTTCAACGCATGTTTCAGGATATTCAAATTTCGAAGGATTTGAATAGTGGCTTCAAGGAATTTGAGTCAGGAATTTTCACTGGAGGCGAAGATAAGCCAATTGATGCCAGCTACTCAATATTGGGTACTGGTATGTGGCCTTTGAATCCACCGAACACAGATTTCACTCCACCAATGGAAATCTCTAAAGCCTATGAGCGTTTTCAAAACTTCTATAACCAGAAGCACAGTGGTAGAAAGCTCACGTGGCTTTGGCAGTTGTGTAAAGGTGAGATCAAAGCAAATTATTGCAAAAACCAAAAGACTCCATATACTTTCCAAGTTTCGACTTACCAAATGGCCATCCTTTTATTGTTTAACGAGAGCGATAAGAATAGTTATGAGGATCTCGCCAAGGCAACACAACTACAGGCTGATGTCCTTGATCCCATACTCGGTATCTTCCTAAAATCCAAAGTCCTCACTATGACTCCAGCAGATGATAAGCCAGGACCCGGTAAAACCTTCCACTTGAATTATGACTTCAAGAGTAAGAAGATTCGTGTCAATTTGAACATTGGTATCAAATCAGAGCAAAAGCAGGAGGTTGATGAAACTCATAAGACTATTGAGGAAGATAGAAAGTTGCTGATGCAGGTATGTAGAATTTATTCATGTATTACGATTGGATTCTCACTAACTTATTTTTAGTCCGCTATTGTTCGTATCATGAAGGCACGAAAGAGGATGAAGCACAGCCAACTTGTCGGAGAAACAATCAACCAGATACGCTCCCGATTCTCACCTAAGATTCCAGATATCAAGAAGTGTATTGATATCTTATTGGAGAAGGAATATCTCGAACGACTTGATGACGATGAGCTCGGATATCTTGCATGATGCATGAATTTTTCTTTAACCATACATCTCTTTCATTGGAGATTCATGATGAATGACCTTTTATGAATTGACGGCTCATTGAAGTTGATTATAAAAGTTAGTAGTCCTCACACGACATTGGCAAAATTTGGCATTAGTTTCCTGCTAGTTATCTTTTTGATCACAGTCAATGGATGAAGAGGCAATAATCAGGCGTATTCATGCATTTTTCATCGTTTTTGTTCATCTCCTTTCTGGTGCCAGTCTTGACCAATTTTCATCGGGCATATTTGGGATGGAAGGGGGAGTTGAGAGAAAGCTACTGGTTGCTTGTTGTGGAAACACATTTTTTGTGTTCTACACTTGAGTTTTTCCTGTTTTTAATTTTTCGTTTTTTTTTTTTGATACCGCGGATACCTAACTCATAACTTTGCACACATCACATTGGGGAAATTTAGTTCTATGGATCAGAACGAAAATACTTATATGGATTGCGCGGTGGGTAGGACTCTGGGATGGAGGTATGGAGGGCAGATTGTTGCATTTCGCAATTGGTCATTGTTGAATTTGATGGCTGAGGAGTGGATGGTCTGAGGGTTGGGAATGTTGTTGTGACGTCTAGGTCTAGGTCTAGGATGAAGAGAGGTGGATGGAGGGATGAATGATGAAGTGGATGATGATTTGGAGGATGAGCATTCAGAAGCGAAGTAAATAGAAGTGTTAATGAATGGGTGAAGTGAAAGTCTGAGCGAAAATCATCTCGTAGACCAGGACCTTTCTTAGGTAAACCGTCTTAGGTAAACATACCTTTTTAGGTTGGGTTGTTAACGTGAAAGCGTACTTGTTTATTTAGTTAATTGAATTAAATAAATAAATTAAATAAATATTTGAGTTTAAAGTGTTTGAGTGTTTGTCTCTTGGATGGGTGGTGTGATATGATGTGATGTGTGATGGTTTGAATGAATAATTCTTTGCAATTGGTGAGATGTGTGTGGGTGAGTGAGATATAGATGATGGTGTACGGTGTATGGTGTATGTATATGGCTCAGCTATGATCTATCTGGTATTATGTATGGATTGAGGATTGAGGATTGAGGATTGAGGATTGAGGATTGTGGATTGTGGATTTTATAATGTAAGTCTAGTACCCTACTTCTGGGCCACCCTTTTACACCAAAAATGATGATTTTTATCTATTAATTATTCAATAATTTGTAACGATACTGTACTGGAGGCAGCGGCTGCCTAAGGTTTCGTCGGGTTGGTAGTTGTGGGTTAAGGCTTTATTACTGTATTCATTTGGAAGTGAATTCGTTATTAGATCAAGTAGAATGTAGATAAACTAATTGATAACTAAATTGAGTATGAAGCTTCTATACTATGAAATTATTCTGATTATATACTAAATCCTTTTCTAAAGTTTTAAAAAATTTATATTTTTGAAGACTTCAAGAAGCTTTGAGGAGTTTATGCTTTTAGAGGCTTCATTATGTGATCTTTATTTGCTTTAGGATATTAATTCTGGTGTCACGATTCATTAATTCACGTGACCTCGAGGACCTTTTGGACCTTAGGGTCCCAGAGGTCCTCAAAAGATGATATAGGGTATATAAACATTCATTTAGTCTCGTAGTTAAGGAGCTTCGTGCTCAACTTAGTTATCAATTAGTTTACCTACATTCTACTTGATCTAGTAACGACTTCACTTCCAAGTGAAGACCAGTGATAAAGCCTTAACCCACAACTACCAACCAGACGAAACCTTAGGCAGCCGCTGCCTCCAGTACAGTATCGTTACATCTGGGACGATTCGCAATCCAGGATAATATAGCTTCTAGGATAATATAGCTCCTAGGATAATTGTTCTGGGACAATTATTATCCTAGGACTTTTATCCTAAGATAAATACCATTCTAGGATACTTGTTCTTATACCTATGTAGTTGCCTAATTTTTTATCCTAAAATCGTTATTATCTTAAGACGCATTTTATCCTAGGACACTTGTCCTAGGATTCCTTATCAATAAGGGAACCGCGGGAAACAGCGGCCCAAACCCCGATACTTGGTTTTATTGTATAATATTAGTCGTGGTTCGTGACAGGGAGAGGAGGGGGAAGAAGAAGAAAAAAAAGAAAGAGGTAGAGATCAAGGGAGAGGATGGGAGTGGAGGAATAGCGGAAGATAGTGAAAAAGAAGAGGGGAAGAGAGTGAAAAAAGAAAGAAATATCTGTGATTTTTACGCTCTTGGGCTAGGTATAGAACAGTATTGATTATAAATGATACTTTTTTTTAAAAAAAGAAATGTATTGGTTCGAATGGAGATGTAGATAGAGATGTAGATATACATATAAATAACAAACTATAGATAGAATCCAAAGCTCTAGAGGAAGGAGAAAAAGAATCAGAGGGTATGAAATGGACAGTAGAGGAAGATGATAGGGGTTTCCAGGAGAGCTATTTATTAACGCTATTATTTCAGTCCTCTGCCTTATCATACGATTGTGTATACATATAGCACGCACCAATATATCTACGATGGCTCGTATTACCCATAGGCTTGTCAGTATTACAGTTCCATCCTATCTCGAAATCGGTGCATTAAACTATAAATAAAATACGACGAAATTTTGTGAGATATATTTGACCCGACAGGTTACGCGCGGAATAGATCGGTGCCATGAAGAATAGAACGACAGCGCGACGATACTGGGTCCAAAGCTTGTCTTCTAAATTAAAGTCCTCTATATATTCCTACAACCTGGGAATATGCGAAGCGGTAGGTTTACCTCCCACGGAGAGGAGTAGCTAGTCACATTTTGAATGCGTTCTAACTTCCAATCCTAGTCATTTAATTTGTATCTACTAGGTAATTATGTACATGGGTTTGATTTCTAACTGACTGACTAACCATCAATATCTGATGTGATTGTAATACTAGAGGACTTGTCCTGTAACTGGCAATGATATTGTAAGATCTAACTTAATATTCTAGACTTGGAAAATAGAGGAGCGGTAAAATAAACAGAGGTGGTCAAATTCTCCTTCAAAAACTTCTGCAAGAGTTAGGAGTTGAGAGATCTCTCTACCTGACGTATTGCTTAAGCGTTTGTTATTAAGATGAAGAATAAGCTATGTGATAATTCTATATACTCTGATTCCTTCATCGATAACTAACCTATGAGTAACTTAATGTTCTAATTATTAGGAATATAAATCATAATATATATCTAAAAATTATCTCGCTTAGACATTTGAGATGTTTATAATGTGATGTATTTCTAATTTTATAAACTCAAGAATCTAATTCCTTTTTATAAATTGATGTAAATTATCAGAATTAGAATTACTTGATATATATTAGATAGTAATATATTTATAAAAATAATAAACTATTTTTATAGATTTATACCTATAAAAACTTTCTTTCCACTCCCAGTGTTGGAAAGTTTTAGACGGTGGACTAACTGCAATACATATTAATTAATCAATGTTATAATTTCAAGTATCGATAGGTATTCAATTGCTTCTTTGTTCTAATTTTAATTAGTAGTCTTTTATATCTCACTGTTAGATCTCGCCGGAATATTAAACTTGTATATATAAGAACCCAAGTAAAGAAACAGCTTATTAGAGAATTAACTCGAAGTATAATATGCAATCATTCAAGAGGTACATTAGAATTTGAAGCACATATCCTTAGTGGACTACTTCACTTCCATGTATATCAAAAATGGTAATTTGATAACGATAATTGGTTCTAAACAGGAATAATATAAAAAACACAAAAAGCCTAATGCAAGACAACCTCCAGAATACAACAAACTTCCCCATCCACCAAACCCCTCACCAAATAACCTCAACCACAATCCACCATTAAACTAGCACAGACTGACATTCCAAAACCTTACCCAAATCATAACCAAAAAGTTCATCCAAAAACTCCCTCCGAGACCGAATATTAACATGCTCCTCCCAAATACCCGGATGCGACAGAAGATACTCATCTCTGGATTTCTGCAAATCCCCATCAGACATCTGCGTAAAATATCTCGATTCAATAGACGCCTTTGCAATCATTGCAGTTCGCTTCTGTCGAAGATTGAAATACGTTGATAATGTTTCTGGAAGTGTGTTTTTGTTGGGGTACTTTTGAAGAAGTGCACCTAGGATGCCTGCATCTTCGATGCTCATGGCTGCTCCTTGCGCGAGGTAGGGTGTCATGGCATGGGCTGCGTCGCCGATTAGACAGAGTTTTCCTGATGTATGAATCCAGGTGTTTAGTTCTGCGTGGGTGTAGAGCTTTTTAGATGTATGTATTAGCAGGGTACTTGAGATAGGGACGATAATCTTACCCTCCATTCTAATACCGTATCCACATGTTCAAGAATCATGCCGATCCTAGATTAATGCATCAGCTGCTGTTGTATTACCTCAACTATGCAAGTACCTTGGATCCCAATCTTTGAATCTCTCTCGAAGCGCTGTACTATCTTGAATCCTATGGTCCGTTCCACAGGGCATATTTGTGTCACACCTGATCATGTCATCATTGTTGCCAAGGTGAACACTAACACGAGAGAAACCAACGTGAAAACAAGATTCAGCAACTTTTCCTCCTTACCCTCCAACAAGTATGACAAGATAGTTGCATTGGGACCAATCCAATGATTATTTCGAGGAATGGTGATAATTTCCTCTAATTCAGGGATACCTTCAAGTTTTTTGATCGGGAATATTACGCGATATGCCATCTGGCCTGTTGGAATTGGCGCACCAGCTCTACCTAGGATAACTTCACGAGCCATCGAATGTAGACCTAGGATTGCAGAGTCAGCCTCGATAAACACTGAATGGTTCACTTGTTGAAGTACTCACCATCTGATGCGACAATCAAGTCTGCAGAATAAGTTTTTCCATCTTGTGTAGCAAGCGTAGGCACCGAAGGATCAATACTGACCACGCGACTGTTCAACCGAACCTTACAACCGTGGTCCATTGCAGCATTCAGTAGTCCACGATGAAGATTAGCGCGATGAACATGCCTATCTCTTCTTAGTCCAATTGTACGACTCTGAAACAATGACTAACCAATAAGGAGACATATAAACATTTTCCGCAGGTTCTTCCAACGGACACTCGACGAGGACCTGACCATCCTTCCAACGCATCATTCTTAAATCAACAGGATAGGAGCAATATTTTTTAATGTACGAATCGATATCCAACCGTCTGAGAACCTTGGACGCATTTGGTGTGATCTGAATACCTGTAGATTTTGAATATTATCATCGGTGTGCTGAATTGTAACGAATGCTTCATTTACCAGCTCCAATGTATGAGATATGTGCAGAGCTCTCCAATATCTCTACTGTATGACCACCTTTTGCAAGCGCAATAGATGTGGTGAGACCAGCAAGGCCGCAACCAATAATCAAGATGTGCTATCTTCTGTTAGAAATGCCGAAAAATCAGACGATGTGGATGAACAAATACCATATTGAAGGTCGATAATTTCGCAGCAATGTTGTTCTTTTTCGGATGGCAGTGAAATAAACAAAATGAAAATGGTGATTGCTTCCTTCTTTTTATGTCTTCATCCATCTGAGCATAAATGGAGTTTACATGTTGTTCGTGAGATGGTCTAAACGGGTCGATCCTTCCGCACTCTCAAAAGGAGGTAATTTTTCGTAACCGAAACTGCCAGGCTGTGTGACTAGTCCTCACAATGACTATGGGTACATAATACATTGTTGCATAGCCGGTATAAAAGAGGGAGTATAAATCAATCAAGCCTAGCTGAATGTGATGTGATGTAACCCGAGGCTGAAAACGCCGAACCAATTGATAACAGACGCAAGTATAAAGATTTTAACAATGGCGAATATACCATAATTACAGAGGAGATCGATAGATTGAAAAGCATAGAAGACACAAATTGAGATGGTGTCTAAAACTTTTGCTAATGTGGTACTGTCCATTTCTCGAAATGTTGTCATTTCATGCAAAGTACTCGAGCAATACCACCAATCTTTAACGATCCAATTCCTTTCTACTAGTTCCCAAATGCTTGAAGTATAGCCGCCCACCAGCATGAGAAATGCTGAACCCTCCCAGGTTTTCGTTAACCCTTTTATCAAAAGCCGTGTGATGAGTCTAAAATCAGCTCGGTCTATTTACAGCACACATTACAAAATACAGCTTCCCATTTAATCGTGACGCCATCATATCAAGGTCTTGGCAAAACTTTCAATCTTGTTTCTTTTGCTTTGCTTCCTCCTCGGCTTTCCTTTTTCCTTCCGAATGCTTTGCCATTTTTTCACTCATGTACCGCCAAGTTCGACTTAATCCAGCCGTGAAAGGCCCTTTCAAGCTCTGACTCGTGCTAGGCCATCCGATCGTTTTCTTGATCACAGTCCTTACTTCAGATCTTAAATCTTCTGAAGGTTCCCGGGCAATCCTTCTTTCGAATCCACCTCCTTCTCTCCTATTAATCTTAGTCCCATCTTCATCCCGGGAGGCTTCCATCATTTGATCGAATTCCAGTCGGGGTATTTGATATTTCTTCTGATATTGGAAATAGAGCTTCGAGCGAAACGCTTTTGGCAATCGTCTCACCATATTTCCCCTTCGAGTCGGGTCCATGTCTTGAGTCAATCGAATATTTGTTGATGGATCGGATGCCCATTCTGGATCGGAGCACTTAGAGTCATTAAAGTTGACATTGGGAAGAGTATCAATAAGGGGCGCATAAAGACGGCGAAAGTGAGGGAGATTATGCCCAACGATATTAGCTACTTTTGAAGGGTCCTCTGTTGGTAAGACCATTCTTGGATCGCCTAGGTAACTAATGTTCGCGATGGTGCCGTATAATTCTTGTTCAGTAAAATCCGGGGGTAGAAGTAGAAGTGCAGTACGTAAAGCAGAGATTAAATTGACCTGGTTTGCTAGACGAACTCTTGCGTCGTCCCTTAGAATTTTCACAGGCTTTTGTAATCGTCCCGCAAGGTACAGCGTTGTCCACTCAGAAAGATCGGTGCATAATGTGTCCAGATTAACGACTCCATATTTGATGAGAGTCCCGTTCACTGTGACATATGGATTGAAATAAACGCCAGCTCCCCATTTCTCCTGCACAGCCGTAACAGCCCCAGATCCAAGGGAGCCGAGTGCCGAATAATGATCTCGGTGTTGGTTTAAGTTGAGGGAATGCCAATGTTGGCTATATGATACACCAAATATAAAATCAATCATCTTAGGAGTACCTCCTTGTTGTTCAACAATTGCAGGAGGTGGTTTCGAATGAATGGATGTAATACTCGAAGGTGTTGCTTGCGTGTGTTTCGACTGCGGGAACACGCCAGATCCATACGCAAATGCGTATCTAATAGGGGCTCTAAATTGCCATAAGATCTGCCTCAAAGCTTCTTTGAACTCATCATTGATCACCATGTGCTGGTTGACGCCGAAATTAGAATGCGGTAGTTCTGAGAACTTTTCGATGTTGTAATTGGGGTTCTCTTCCCAATCTGCTGGAGCTGGGATATCACCCGCCGAACTTGATGAAAAAAATGAAGAGGGAGGGCTGGATGGTTTACGAGAGGGTATCGAGGGGGTTTCGGTAGATGTTGAATCGGAGGAGTTCTCATTCGCAGGTTCTACCTGCGAGCCATTCGTTTCTTTGGAAGCAAAAGCAGGACTATGCGTTATGGAGAATGTACGTCGTATTGATTGATATGGCCATCTTGCATTTGTATATGAAATTGAAGGTCCTACTTTGGCTGACCCGAGAGCTGCTTTCAAAGCCTGCCAAATAGCTGTTAGCTAAAGAGCATAGGAAAACCGGAAGGGATTTGTGCCCGTACAGGGAGATTTCGAATTGGCATTGTATCGGATGATGATCAGATACTGCCTCTGAGAAGGGGTTGGTATCTAATTAATTATTTCTTTGGAGCAGCGAAATGCTGCGAACTTGTCACCGGCTGTATTTCGCCATATGAATACGTTGTTGAATCTCCATGGGAAAGAATGGAGCTCTTCAAGGAAACCCACCTTTTCTTTCTCGAAGACTCTCTTAGTCAGCAGGAACCAGGCCCGCGTGTTCTTTCTTTGGTGTTGGTGTTCCCTTTTTTTGAGTGACGGGAGGGGCCAGGCCGAGTACTAGGTGTAAGGTACCGAATAATGGGATCAAATGTGGATAATGGTGTCGATTTAACTGCAACCGGTAAATCTTGGGAGGGCTTAGGATGGAGTATCTAAAGCTCCGAAAGTTTATTAATCAGACATTACCTAGGTACCTAGTAGGTAAAAGGATGAGCAGAATTTCTCAAAGACATTGATGAAAGGTCGTAGAGGGGATTTTACCATGATATGGCTGACTGACAGGTGAAAAGTCCTGTAGATGGGAGAATCTCATTGTCGGATGTGCATAGCAATGAGGGAGGAATCGAATTGTTTCAATTGTCTAAATTATCTACGAAGGAAGTTACATGTAAAGTTATCCAGTGCCTGAGTTGATGAATTGATTTGGGATAGATGAGCATTATGTGTTGGTTTCTTAATGTGCCTCTTCTTCCTTCTTCATACATCTCGAAGTGGTGCAGTATTAAAACATATGGGCAACAAAGGTAAGCTTGGTGAGTCTTTGTTTCAACCTATATCTGCCGGTCATGTAGATACCTCATCGTAAGTATAGTAGTTAGTGATAATAAACATGCTAGACATCACACACACAGCTCACCTACCAAAGAACGACATTGGGTAAAATGTCATGTTGATGCTAGGAGTATTGATGTAGGTATTCATGCTCCAGTTATACCAGCCAGGGATCTCAACACTTTAGACTCTTTCACCCCGCCAACCATTTCCCCGTATTTTTCTATTTTCTTGGTTTGATTATGTAATCCATATAGCTACCACCATCCATCTCAGCCTTGCATCACAAATTCACGTTTGCGACAATTATCAACTCGACACTACAACAAATCCGCATTTAGCGGTACATAATAGCAATGAGGGCCCATACTCCTCAGGGCTTGGGAGATTCTCAAAGAAGAAGATCTTCGACCAGCGGTGGACATAGAATGAGTATGGGTAGTGCTATTCCTCGTGCTCAATCCAGAGTAAGAATTGATCTTTTACCTTGCAACTCTATTTACATGCAATTGAATTGCCTAACGGAGATACCTTTCTTAGATGTCTATTGCACGCCCATCAAACACTCAACCCAGTTTCGACTTTTTAACAGGCGCGGAGACTACCCATAGACCGCCATCACGAACAGACCGATTCCGACAATCAACCAGGACCGTAATCGATGAAGCTAGAAAGGAGTCACTCTATACTGAGGTCGATCAAGACGCCGATAGAAGGAAGAAAGAATTGGATGAATTAAAGGCTGAAGTAAAGTCATTGAAATACACCATCGACAATCACAAACAAGAGGAAGAGCTTGCAAAATTGAGACACGAAAATGAACTTCGAGATGCCACACGCAAAGCTGAAGAAGATTTCAAGCAAAAACAAATCGCAGAAGGGGAAAGAAATAAGGCTGTGAGACAATATGAAGCTATACTCAACGAAATGAATGAAGTTCGTGACGCTTCAAGTAATAAAAAGACAGCATTAGAGAAGAGAATTCGCAAAGTGGAGGAAAGCAAGCGTATCTTGGAAGAGGAAATCGAGGAAATCAAAACAGAAAGTGAAGAAGGTAGCCGTATACTGGAAAGGCGAGTCTCGGAGCTCGAAACAAGGAACCAGACTTTGCAACGTAGCGTCCAAGATTTACAGGAAGACTCGGATCGAAGAGAGGCGTTATTGCAGGATGTTCAGCAACAGTTGGCTGATAAAGATACGGCATATGGAGCTCTTGAGGCTGAAGTCTTGCGACTCAAAGCACAGACTGGGGATACCGACACACTCGAGGTGATCAAGAGAGAATTGAGCGAGCAGGTCACACATATTAGGAATCTTGAAGCAACCAATCGAGAACAATCGGCCGAATTAAAGCATTATAAGAAGTTACACAAGAGTGTGGAAGTCGTTGAAGAGGAGAAACGAAGCTTGCAGAGGAAAGTCGAGGCTATGGATGATCTACGGAATGAACTTGGAGAGGCAATACTACAAAGACAAAGACTTGAAGATGAACGTTTAGCATGGACTGCATACCTTCAAAATCAGAGTGGTGTTGACGGCCAATTCGAGTTTAATTCCCCGGAAGATTTGGCAAGAGCACTTGTTGAAGAGAGGATGCAAATTGCCACTTTAGTGGAGCGACTGGGTGCTATGGAGTCTGAAATCCTTGACAAAGACAACATCATAGGCGGCTTACAAAATGATAAGAAGTCTATGATTGAGGAGATGGAAAAAGTCAGGGCAGCCGGAAGCAACGCTGGTGGTGGAGATGCCAAGGCTCGTTTGCGACTTGAAAGACAGCGGGCTTTGGCCATCAAGGAAGTTGAATATTTGCGCGCGCAGCTTAAGACTTTCGATGCTGAAGATGAAGCCTTCGGAGCCGGTGATAACATTGATGATGCCAAAATCAAGCGTATTGAAGAGCTGGAAAGTATTGTTGATGAATATCGTCAAGAGGTACAATCCCTTCAAACTGACCTTGCAACCGCCGAATCAGCACAACCTACTACGGCGACTCTTGCTGGTACCAAACATGCACGAGAAGAGACTGAAGAGAACGAACGCATAGGAGTTCTCACTCGGAAAAACCGTAAACTTCAAGACGACATCACAACTCTCCAAACATCACAAAAGCTTCTCCAGAAAGAGCTCGCCGTCACCCAGGAGCGCCTAACAGCCGCAACTACTCACTCTCAGACACGCATTCTATCTCTTCGCTCCAATCCAACCTCCAACTTTGAGGCTATCAAACTCTCCACCATCAGAGCACTCCGTGCAGAAAATGCAGACCTCCTTGCACAGCTCACTACTAACCTTCCGCCTAACGCCTCAGTTCCCCTCTCTACCCTTCAAACTCAACAGGATCTAGTCGCCGAATCTCAAGCTGCACTCAAGGATGAAAGAACCCGAAATGACCGCCTCAAAAAGGTGTGGGGCCTTAAATCCCAAGAGTTTCGTGATGGTGTGTCTTCTCTCCTAGGATGGGACGCTGTGTTCATGCCCAATGGAAAGATGCGAGTAACATCCTTTTACTACCCTTCAGTCGGAGAAGAAGAGAACAGTATAGTATTTGATGGAGAGCGAGGAACGATGAAAGTAAGCGGTGGTCCTGAAAGTAGATTCGCAGGAAGAATAATGGAAAATATCAAATTCTGGGTTAATGAAAGAGGTAGCATTCCCTGTTTCTTAGCAGCCTTGACATTGGAGTTTTATGAGGAGAAAAAGGGTGATGGTACGGTAATGGTCGGTTGATTGTATATACCACGTACCTGGTGTAAATTATGAAAAGGGTCATACGGATAGGTATCTAAGGATATTGGAGTTTAGGTACACGATGATGTATTGAGGAATTATATATCAAATGGTAGTTCGGTTCACTTGATTCTCTCGGATCCTTTTTCAGATTCAGATTTATTATGGATTATGACTTAAGAAACAATAATGAATGATAATGGGTATAAATATTTAATCAACTAATTAACCTATAAAAGAGACCAAAAAAACAAAAACCAAAAAAAAAACAATCAAAACTCCAATAATTCTGTATCCTTCTTATTGTCCCCAAGAAAAGCTCCTCCAATATAAACGCCTCGTTCTTCCAATCGCCAAGAATATAATTATAAAAAGCAACCGTCGACAAATTTCTAATCCAAATCAACTTCATTCTCTCCGTCACCAACTGCGTCAAGTTCTGTAGCCAATGCTGCAAATCAGAAACATTAACATCAGGGTTTTTATAATGCCCCATGAGTTCTAATTAGTGAAGGAGTCATTGCCCAAAACGACCCTAATCAGAAGCATGGAGGAAAGAACCCCACTTAATAGTAGAAGTGTTTTCAATTGTTGTTTATGATTTGAAACAATAACTGCTAAACCAGGCGCCCATTGAAATGCCGGAAAAGAAGATACATTGAAATTCGGTTTGGAAATGTCCTGGTAAGCTTAGACAATGTCGGAAGTAAGTCAACAATCACAGTTGCTTGTAGAAAAGACAGTCTTCAAAGTAAATTCAAACAATCTCAATTGCTTCCAAACAAGCCAACGCCTTGAGACCTTCTGCTTCAAATGCTGCTACCATTCGCTCACACTCTTCACGGAGCTTTTCTTGAGCAACCTCCGCCGTGTGATAAATCCATTGTTCCACCGACATTTGACTTTCTGCTTTGCTTAAATCTCCCGTTTTGAGCTTCGCCATTGCCGTCACGAAATGCTCATGCTCTTCATCACCAAAAAACATCTCCGCATCTATGGCCTCCCACCGCTTACTAGTTTTAGGTGCCATAAAACTTTGATTTGGAGGGGTGTTGGGTCTCTCAGGAAGATGATTTTCCGCATCAGAAGACTGCGGTTCTGTGTCCGAAAATTGGTTATCTTCGGCTGGAGATTGAGGTGGTGACAAGGGTGGGGGAGATGATGGAGGAGATCCTTCCATCCAGAGCAAATCCGAAGCTACTGCCTGGTTCTGCAAGTCTGTGAAGTTTGGTGCTCGTAGTGGCGCAGCGGATGCTTGGGGAGCAACAACACGTGCCGTACTAGCCCTTGTGGTGCGTCTTTTAGGCTCTGGGTTTGGGAGGTCAGGCTGTGAGGCCTCGTCGTCACTCTTCCTCTTTCTACTAGACGTGGTTGATACTGATAGCTCTTTAGAAACTTCAATTGGCTCAACCTTCTTAGCCTTAGGCTTCCGACCCCTAAGTCCGGATGTCTTTGCTTTTGTTGTAGCTGTTGAGATAATGCTATCTCCTTCTTCAACAGCAGCATCGCTAGCAACAGTAATAGCGGATTGTGGCGATAATCGTGATGTTTCGGTATTCTTAGCTTGAGGCTTCCGGCCCCTCAACCCAGATGCTTTGCCTTTTGTTGTGGCTGTAGAAATAATGCTATCCCCTTCTTCAGCAGTTGCATCGCTGGCAACAGTAATAGCTGACTGTGTAGATAATCTGGATGCTTTCGATGGTCTGCCTCTTTTGCCAGTTGTTGATTTTTTCAAGGCAAGTTCTGCATTATGTTCGTCAATAAGTGTGAAAAAGGGACAGTCGGGCGATCGATTATAATGTTCTTCTCTGTGAGATGAGTTAGCTTTTGTAGACACTAGAAACTTTTCCAAACATACAATGGCTTGTCGGATGGCTCCCATCCATCTAACGCCAGTGAACAATAAGTGCAGGTAGCCATATCATTTGAATCCGAAGTTGGGGTATATTTCCAGCCAGCGTTGACCAACTATTACCGCATCAGTGTAAATGTCATCATGGATGAAAGACAGCTCATACCTGTTTAGTCTTACATTTCCAGCCCCTCTTTGCCTCATGAGGCCATCTTCCTGCAAATGTTGCAGTTCTAGCCTCGACCATTCTTAAACTGGCAGGAAACTCCTTGCTCAACTCCTCATCTTGGGCTTCAATGGCAGCAACAGTTGCCCATCCACAATTTGGAGAATGTTTCAAATGTTCTACCAATGGATCATCACCCTCCTCCCAGGCGTCAATGGATCTATGGCAGAGAAAGCAAGCGCAATTGTCTGGATTGTCTTGAGAAGGGTAATAAAAAAAACCTGCTTTTGCAAGCTTTGCGCAAAGTCAGCGGGCGACCGGTAAACAAAGGTAGAGTATGTCGTACCTGTTCTGGCAACAAGAACTTGTGTGGCCATTTGAGAGTTTTTGGAACTCTTGATCCAGCGGTTGATGTCCTACGGCCGGTAACAGGTTGTGCATAACGGTAAGATGCCACTCTGCTCTCAAAGGTAATGTAGTCCGGTGCAACATCATGGACTGCCATTTTGGCAATGCGCGTCGCGTCGATAGGTTCTATTAGATACAACAGTGAGGGGTTTCTATAGCGAAAGGGGTTTTTCTGTGGTTGGTTCTAATTGGAGTTAACTAGCGGCAGTAATTGGCGCGTGTTATTGTACGAAGCTTGGAGAATTGTATGATTTCGAGGGGAGAAAGTGGTGGAGGCTCGTTGATATGTTTATCAAATAGATTCTGCCAACTCAAGAAAGGCGGTGGAAAATCATCAGCTAGTTTTGCGGCATAACCTATCACAAACGAGAATACAGAAACTTTATTTTATCTACAATTTTACCATATATGGAAACCGTATGCCGTTCTTGATCATCCAAATGATCATATCCTACAGTACCAAGCATATGCAAAATGAATTGGTACGCAGCAAGAGTGTTTCCACCTTCACAAAAAAAAAAGTTGAAAATGCTGTCGTCCCACCAAAGACATTCTATTCCAACCCTTTCTTCACCATATCTACTCTACTCTCATGAGCCCTCGAATCAAGCATATCAGTAGAGTGAGACTTTTTCTCTCAGCATGAATTCAATGTACTGGTTTATGGGACCGCCTAAAATAGATAGGCCTCAAGTGGGCAACAGGCGATAGCTTGTAGTAGCTCAACAACTCTATTTTGGGATAATTCCCATGAAATATGATGTTGGAATCTTTGGTGGTTTCCATTCTTCTCTGCTCTCCAAAATTACTATACCCCAACATGAGAAAGAGACAAGCGGTCGATATAGTCAGTATCAAACTACAGAGTGCAATTTACATAATATGAAATGCCATGGGCAATGCTCATACACGGCTTGTATGCATGTGACTGGTATGAACTCTTCGCTTTGTGATATCCAATTGCCAAAACCCCTTCCCCTTCTCTTTCCGAGGAAAAGATGTATGAATCATTTCAGTTGCTACTTCAACGGTGCCTCCATGTGGAGCCCCTAGCCTCGGTCAGTACAAGCTCCAGAAAACGTTTTTCGGAAAAATACCATATTTTGTACTGTTTCCTAGCTGCTAAACCGCACAATTAGCTTCATATTAGTATAAACGAACAGATCCGGACAAATATCACCCATTTGCCTCGAGATCTGAATCATTAGATACACAGAATTTCTATTTCATCATTACTTTTTGCTTCCTACATCCCGGTGCCTATGTTCTTTCCAGGTAAGTTAGAAGCTACTTATCAAGAAATGCGTTTCTAGTGTGATGAGGAACCAAAATGCTTGAAAATTATACTGAATACAACATCCACCCAGGCTTGAATGTCGATAGAGGCAGATTAAAGAGCTAATATGCTTGGCCACGGAAGAAGAATGCCCGGACGGCGTCTTTCGTATTGTCATCATATGGGAAATTGAAAGTCGCTGGGATTGACAAATTTAAACACCTGTTGAAGCAGGTCGAGTTATATACTATGGCCTAGTGTAACGATACTGTACCGGAGGCAGCGGCTGCCTGAGGTTTCGTCTGATTGGTAGTTGTGGGTTAAGGCTTTATCACTAGTCTTCACTTGGAAGTGAAGTCGTTACTAGATCAAGTAGAATGTAGGTAAACTAATTGATAACTAAGTTGAGCACGAAGCTCCTAAACTATGAAACTACTCTGACTATATACTGAACAATAAAGGGGGCCCCTAGGAGCTTTCTGGCTCCTCAAGACTCCTTATCACGCGATTTCTGATGGTGCGTGCGCATACGATCTTCAGGTGACCAAGATCACATACTAATTCGATGAAATCTGATCGTGTTTGCACACGGCCTAAGCTCTCCTAATTAATCAGTTTGCTACCATCGTAACACCATCAATCCTAATGGTGAATCGTGACAAGCACCTGTAGATGTGTTACGACGGATCTCACATACCTAACATCACGTGATTAGCATCATGTGATATGAGGATCCCAGTAGGCTCAGCTGTCCCAGTACAACTGGGACAACTGGGAGCACTGGGACGCATGCCACGATGGTCTATATAATCAAGATGGATTTCCTTTGTATAGAGCTTCGTGCTCAAGATCAATCATTTAGTATACTCTACTATTAGTTACGAATTGCATTATTGTCATTACTTTAAGTCCCTGCTTGACGCCTAGTTATAAACCACTTCGAGAGCCTAGAGCACTTCCACGTGATCTAGACGGCAAACCTCGTAACACATATTTCATTTTAGTTTCAGTTTAATTTTTGATATTATATTTTATCTATTAGATATAAATAAATAAATAAATAAATAAATAAATAAATAAATAAATAAATAAATAAATAAATAAATAAATAAATAAATAAATAAATAAATAAATAAATAAATAAATAAATAAATAAATAAATAAATAAATAAATAAATAAATAAATAAATAAATAAATAAATAAATAAATAAATAAATAAATAAAATGTATTCTTTTACTAAAAGATTAATACTCTTATTATATTTACTTTATATAGGTATCTACTCTATTCCCAATACCCTAGTTATTTATAACTTATTCTTTAAATGAGGTAAATGAAATCAAAAATCAAGTCAAAGCGCCGTGTCCCGAAATTAAACAGATAGCATACCTAGCAAGTAAACAGATAGCATACCTAGTAAGTAAACAGACAGGGCTTGATAGATACTTCATACTCCGTACGGTAGAGTCAGTCAAGGTAAAGTAAAGTAAGGTAAGGTAGTAGACGGGAGAAAGAAAAAAAAACAAAATTAGTGGATATGGATGGATATGGATATCGCGTGGTATGTGCCGGGATTGATTTACGGAGTAGGTTATTAGAGGAGGGGGTCGAGCCATGCTTGTTTCGATCTTTGAGCCGCGGTGGGTATGGGTGTGTGTACTGGGTTGGGTAGGTACTAACTGGGTGTTGCGCGATGTGTGATGTGATGGGGTGTGATGAGATGGGATGTAAGATGTGAGATGTGAGATGTGATGTGATAGGAGGTGTGACGGGTTGTAAGGCAGAATTGAAGGCTTTTCTATGTTTGATGTGTGATGTGTGGTTTTGGGTTTGTGTAGTATTGGGATTGTGGTTGGGGTGGTTATAGATTAGATTGGATTTGATGGGTTTGTGATGATGATGAGTGGATATGGATATGGATACGGATGTGGATGGGATTGAATCGTGAAATACAACTCCGAAGTAAACTTTTTTGTGTTGAGTCGACTGGATTTGCAGATCGGAATTATATATGATAAGGTTACTACTCGAGTACATTACTATAGACAGGAAGAACATCTACTTTACAGCCTTACATTCTAAATGCGGCAGAAGCGTTTGGGGTAAAAAATGAAATAAATTTCTATCCCTTTCAATTTCATCATACATACATAATCAAATATGAGGCCCGAGGGAATGGATGTGGTTAGATGTAGATGCAATTAGTTCTATTGTGTTTGGATGAAATAGAAGATAAAGTACGAAGTGCGTTGATGAATTCATGAATCATGGTTATACGAGATTCCTGGTAATTATATGTGTTGTTAAGATTTTGGATCTTTGATCTTTGATCCGGTGTTTACACGTGGAGGATTTGATCGGATTTGAGATTTGAGATTTGAGATCGAGATCTGGTTGTTGGATGGATGGTACTGGTATAAAGAGGTATCCAATATATGAAATATCAATGAAATGAATGGAGTATAAATATGAAAATGTGATGTAAATCCCTTAACCGCTGTTTCGAATACATACAAAGTGAGCAATTCATATTTCCTTTTGAGTTAAAGTTTCTGGTTCACATTTGTTATATATATATACTCCGTACGCATTGTGATACTAATAACGAGAGAAGGGATAAAGTTGCGAGTAAAGTGGAATAGAAGTGGAGATCATTAAGAAGATCGGTGAAGCTTGGGGCAAATAGTGGGTGGTGAGTTATGGCGGCCACGAGGTATGTTGGGTTTGAAGCGTGGTTTGATGATGGAGGGATTGAGTAATTCATGGATTAAAGATTGGGATGTTTGGGATTCGGGGTCCAAGGGACTGAAGATCTTATTCATTATGTGAATTGGGAATTTGTAGGTAAAGAGGTAAAGTTAACTTTAGATTTGTAGGGAATCTCATTTGAAGATATAAATATATATACCCGCGGTAACACGACATATTAGGAAGCGAACTGCCTCGATGCAAGTACTTACTTTACTGTACTGTGCCGGTATATAGCACAGACTTTGTTAAAATGGTGAGAGAAATTGTAAGATGTTACTTCATTCGGTGAGAGATGGACAACATTTGGAAACAGGCATCGTGAGAAATCATTCGCCCAGACCTTTGATAGACCGAACTGTGCCTTGTCGAACTGTCAATCGCTAATCAGGTTTGTAGATGTTTTCTTATTATATTGCCAGCTGCTATTTCGGAAATGGCTTAAGAATAGCAGCGCGTAGACTTTTGGTAGATCTTTGGACAAGGTTCGAGTATAGCACAGTACTTATATACATCTGATCGAAAAATAGGAAATAGTATATCGAGTAGAGTAAGTAGCTATTGTTAATATAACATTACCTAGATACTAATGATATCTATCATCAAATGTTGAGGTCATAAGGTTGAAACTAGGTTGACATCAATACATTTCTGATGCATCCAATCATCCCTCTCTTCCTCCGTATATTCATCCAGTTACTTTCATTAAAATTGGTGAGAATTACTAAATTTCCGAATAGTTGCAGATCTAAACGTGGATGCCCGGCTGATGACTTTAAATATCAAATCCTCCGGCAATCAATTATATTACAATACCCTAGCTTACATTTTACCTCTTTACCTGACTTTTAAGGTTTATATTGAAGTAAGAGCAGGTTTTCTCCATATATAGGAAAGTATGAAATACCAAGTACCTACGTATCTACTCAGCTTGAATTGACAACTATCAACCAAAGGCTCATACTGTTGTTATACCAGGTATTCGGATCTTATTTCACTAACTCACTCTCTTATAATTTATTATTCGAGTACTCATTTCAAATATTATCTGTATTTGGACTTCCCTATATATCCACCTCCTTCACCATTGTTTGATCTGGAATTAAGAAATACCTAGAATTCGCCTAGATTCATTTCATTGACAAAGTTGCGAGGAGCTAAGACCATCTCTCTACCTCATTCATCGATTCATTCGATTCATTCGAGTCCAGTGTCCACCCTTTCACAGACAATCAATCAATCAAACAAATCATCCCAACCTCCCCTTGTCATCTTTCTCTAATCCTCGAATCTCTTTGTTCATAAAATCTTAATAAAAAAAGGATTTCATATTATCTCTTCCAAAAACCTCAAATCACATCACACACATTGCAAGATCAGTACAAAGACAACCAAAACCTAAAACAATTAGCTTTGTTCGCTATAAAAATTCCGATCCAAAAGGAGAGAGAAAATTCCTTATTGACCTCTGCCTCGGGTGATTCTGTCTCACTAAAACAACCCATCCGCTTCTTGTGGGCTGTGGAGACTCGGTATTGTACTGAACGGCATTTCAAGAATATATCCTTCTTCAAGTCTATTTCCGTCACAACTCAAACTATCATCCATCGATCTCATTAGTTTTACCCTGAGCTTCTTCACAACTTATACTTACGAAATCTCGACTCACAATAATCCTTGCCCAAATTTATACATTTTCAACAATACAATTGATCCGGATCGATAGCCTCGCGAATCGTGTTGGATATCGAGTTGGACTAAGGATTGCACTAGAACGTCACAACTCAATTAAGTGACGACAAAACTCCCGACAACCATCAGCAAACGGTATATAACGAATAAGGATCAAATCATCATCATTATATTCATCGAAATAATTACAGGGAAAGCGGGGCTGCTTCTACAGCCAGGCAGGTGAAGCACGATGGGGGCTTGTATGAGCTCGAATGTGGAAGATACGGAACAGAGGAAGAGAAGTCAAAGGATTGATAAGACGTTGGAGGAGGACTCGAAAAGACTTCGACGAGAATGCAAAATCCTTCTACTAGGTATATAATGGACCATCTTGCGGTCTTCGAGACAAAGACAAAAGTGATACAGTACTAACCATCATCGAAATAGGTTCGGGCGAGAGTGGTAAATCAACGATAGTCAAGCAGATGAAAATCATACACCAGAATGGGTACACCGTAGACGAGTTAGCTTTGTATCGATTGACGATCTATAAAAATTTGATTGATTGTGCAAAAGCATTAGTCGGTGCAATGCGACAGATGGAGATCGAGCCAACGAATCCGGCAAATAAGGAGTACGGTTCATTTCTATTAGAGTATATCGTCGACCCAGATCCTCATACACCACTTAATCCCAGGGTTGGCACCGCTGTGGCATCGGTATGGAAGGATGGATCTATGGAACGTTTGTTAGCAAGACAGAGTGAATTCTATTTGATGGATTCAGCACCATAGTATGTAATATGTAGCCTTTGGGCATAAAGAATGGTTCTAACTTTCTATAGCTTCTTCGAAGAAGCTGGAAGGATAGCAGCACACGACTACATCCCTACGGAAGCCGATGTTTTGAGGGCCAGAACAAAGACAACTGGTATCTACGAGACAAGATTCACCATGGGCTCATTGAGTATACAGTCAGTGTTTATGATACGAGCTTCCAACTTTCAACACTAACTTTGTGATAGCATGTTTGATGTGGGTGGACAAAGAAGTGAGAGAAAGAAGTGGATTCATTGCTTTGAGAATGTCACCTCAATCATCTTTTGTGTTGCTTTGAGTGAATATGATCAGGTTCTTTTGGAGGAGAGTAATCAGGTAAGAGTTCCCTCTATCATCCCAACAACAATCCTAACAATATATAGAACCGTATGATGGAGAGTCTGGTCTTATTTGATTCGGTCGTGAACTCAAGATGGTTTATGCGAACCAGTATTATTCTATTCCTCAATAAAGTTGATTTGTTCAAACAAAAGCTTGGTCGATCACCTCTCGAGAATTACTTCCCGGATTATTCTGGTGGAAATGATCTGAATAGAGCAGCAAAGTATTTACTTTGGAGATTCAATCAAGTTAACAGAGCTCATCTGAATTTATATCCACAGTGAGTCCCACGCAAAGCCGCCCCAGATTGTACACATTCTAACATGAATAGCCTTACACAAGCCACCGATACTTCGAATATTCGACTCGTATTCGCTGCTGTTAAAGAGACGATATTACAAAACGCTCTCAAAGACTCGGGCATACTTTAATCAAATCAAATAGTATGGTCCATGATGAATAATGTCCTAATTTATATAATCCATTTCATATTGACTGGAAATTGGTGTTTGGTTTAGGAGTTTAGGGAACGATGTGTGATAAGACTTCAAGGTGTATGCTGCATGATCTGGATTTGGATGACTCTCGGTAGGCAGGAAAGGGGATGATGGTAATGCATGAACAACGATTTCTATGTCGTTTGAATTAGGTTGGTGGGGTAAGGGTATCACTTCCATGATTTTTATATATGTGTGGAATTACATATTGCAACTGTGAGGACTCTGGCGTTTCAAGGGACAATTGGGAAATGGGATCGGTTTGGTATTTGGGAAAAATGCGACGAAATGGATGGACTGGAACCAGCGAGATTTTAGCATTTGCGTATTTACAAAACGGGATAGATCGGGAGGATCTAACCAGTGTCATTGTCATCATATTGGGTGGAGGGATTGGTGGATGGAGATGGGGATGGAGATGGAGATGGGAATGGGAATGGGGATGGAAGTGAAATAATGATGATGATGACGATGATGGTGTAGAAATTTGAGTAGGTAATGAGCGATCAGATCAGATTCAGTGTTGATTGTTTGATGCTTGAATTGAGAAATTATTTACAGATTATTTGTATGTATATGGGTGTATGTGTTGTAATATTGATTGAATAGTTTATAGGAGATGTGATGTGAAGATGATGGTGATGGTGATGAGGGTATACAGAAGGATGACTATAATGAAGATGATTATAATAGATAGATAGATATTAATAATGTATTAATTATATATTTGAGAGATGATTATATGTATACTATAAGGTTATACTACATATATATATACCTATAATAATATCTTTTAATATAATAATATAAAGTTATAATTAAATAGTTTTATATAATATATTTATATTACTTCTTTTGTTAAATATTAATTTGATACTATCAAAAAGAAATTAAAAGATAGTATATTTGATAAATTTGATGTATTTGATAGTATTTGATTCGCTCCCCCTCTCTTGGATTTTTAGTAATTTTTTATCTAGTACTTAACTGGTGTTAAATTGATATCTAATAGGTT